AAAGTCTCATAAAGTGCAGGAAGCTGAGACATTTGGATGTCTCTGACTGCTTTGTAACTTTGCTTGACAATGATCCTATTAAACCATATGCTTTGTAATTTAACTTTTGTTGCGGTCCATTATTTATTGTTTCATAATCAATAAAATGAGTATCAGATCCAAAAATTATATATCCTTCCAAAGGGGGAGATAAGAGTGAGGATCCTAGGGTTGAACTGGCTTTGAAAAGAATTGACTGGTGAAGTCAGGCGTTGTTAATAAGCCTGTCTGAAAATTTAGGATCTGGATCCACCTCCACTTAAAGCTTTAATGACGGAAGATGCAATTTTAATTCTTTTTGAAGGCGGGGGGGGGGGGGGGGGAGGGGTCAGCCAGGTGTCTGACACGTGGAAACCCATCACCATGCTTAAGAGTATTCAAACCAAACTGAGAGTTCCATGCATCCCCATCTATACATGGAAATTCCAGAGATATTTGTTGGAATGGAATGCTCATTCTTTCCCTGGAGGGATGCATCCTGCTTACCTAATTGCAGAAGGTATTAGGCGCAGGTTGGCCAGAGCCAAGGCTTGGGGACCCAAGAGTGTGCGCTGGGGTAGTACTGCAATGTAACCAAGTAAAACCACATGGCATTGAGAACACTGCCTGTTCAGCTAGGGCTACCCTACCTTTTGGGGCTTTGGCTTGGAGGGTTAATGGGAGTTGAGTGGGATGAGTCCTTGCTTCCAATGGCTGGTCTACCCTTCCAATTCCTGCTGATGAGCTGTCATCAGCAGTGCCCTGGAGTACCGAGGTCCAGCTTGACTCAGAAACTGGATTACCGAGACTGCCAGAGAGGGTTGGATCGATTCCAACATTCTGTTGCCAAACATATCACTTTGGAGCCAGTACTACCCCCTCTCCAAAGAGGATAGTCTCCAGTTGGTCATCTGACTCCAACACTTGCAGTTTTGTGCCCCCACTAGATGGATGGAAGATACCAACGAACTCCCTGGAGCTTTCTGGTGGGCAACACAGCTCAGCATGAAATGCGTGAGAGATTTGCCACTATCTTCCTATCGACAGCTTGGACACATGAGCGAAGGTTCCACCAGTTGGAGCTGAGGAGTTTAAGCTGCAGCTGCTTCCCTCTCTTCAAGCCATTCAAGGTGAAGGTGGGGAAGACAAAACGGGTCATGGCACAGATGTGGGGTTTAAAAGACAGTTGAGGTTCAAACAAGACACCAAGGTTCTGTACTGGCTCGGTGAGGTGGAGAGTGCAGCAATGGATAGTGATGCTGTATGTGCCTGAGGTGAGGAGGGAATGATAGGAGCCAAACAGGAAGGCCTCAGTCTTGTCAACTTTCAGAGGAAATTAGTTCTCATCCAGTACTTGATGTCTGACAGGCATTTTGTCAGTACAGGAATCGTCTTGGAGTTGAGGGTGGAGGCAGAGAGCATTGAGTTGGGTATTATCCACATACACGTGGAAGTTAATCCCATTTAACCCCATGTGTGCAGTTGATAGCACTGAATGGTAGATTGCAGATATTATAAAGGAGAGGGCAAAGGATAGAGCCCTGGAGAATGAAGGTGTGAGGGTTGGAGGAGAAGCTGGAGGTGGAAATCAATTGCAGATAATGGAGAGGTAATAATAATAATCCTTGCATTTTATATTGCGCCTGTTTTATACAGACAACGTCAAGATGTCTCAAAGCGCTTTGTAGAATAGATTGTAATGTGTGGGAAGCAGCTGCTTAACCTTTCCACATATTAATCAAGGTAGATACCAAACCCTGAATTTATGAGTGACCTACATTCCAGAATCATCTTCCCAGCAGCTGTTGTCTCATTGCACAGTGATAGACATCTTGAATAGATGTCCAGCCATTTAATAGATATCTACCTTAGGCATGGTGGAAGGTCATATGCAGAACAATTTGCAATATGCCAGCCAACCTGATATTCTAGACGTCTAAGTTTATTCATCACCAATTGCTTAATCCAGATCCTAGTGTAAGAAATCTTGGCAGCACAGAGTTGAATCACCTTCGATCTTTCTTTGCCAGCCTCAATCACCTTAAAGCCACCCAGCAAGACAACTGCTTCCTGATGGCAGCATGTTCTTTTTCAAAGCCCACCAAGAGGTTAATACGCTGCTTTTAAAAGGTTGATTTGATTTTCTCTTTATCCATTACTGAATCTTTCTTAACATTTTAGATATATCCCAAATATTGAGTGCGTGCACACACACACAGCTTTTCAGTAAATGGCTTCCTTCTCTTGTTTTGCCAGTTCAGGAATTTGAGCTCACATTTCTGAGATAAATACTTCACTTGACTTCACAGTATTACAGTTCTGAGGATAAGTTATAGTCTTGCAGTATCTGCCATCTAGTGGATGGATTGCTCGGTCCTGTCTTACACATTTACAAAGAGAGCTCACTGGGTATCTGTACCTGGCTGCTCCCTGACAAATTCAATTTAATTTTTATTTTGACCAAATGTCTGACACACGCGGAAAAAAATCACCATGTTTAGGAGTATCCAAACCAGGCAGAGTTCCACACGTTCATAAAACCGACACATGGAAATTTCCCTTTGTTTGGATGGAATGTGCACTCTCTCCCTGGAGGAAGGCACCACGTTTACCCAAGTCCGGCACAAGTTGGCAAAAGGCAAGACTGAGAGACTCCAGAGTGTGTGTTTATCCAGCTAAAAACTTGGTTTAGTGAGCACTGTCTGGCAAACTTCCTGCTGCTTGTCCGTTAGGATAATTAGAGCTGCCACTCCAAGTACTTTTGATGAGCCAGCAAAGCCTTGGAGTACTGCGGTCCCACTCGGCTCAGGAACTTTCTGTGTTTTTTTGCACTCCATTTATCACTTTCTCTTTATTTTTTACTTAACCTACTTATTTATCCACCTCAACTTTTAAAAAAAAAAATCTTTTGGTATTTGACCTATACGTTATCCAATTCGACTTTAAATATCCTATCAATGACCTGGAGATTCATCCACTTTAAGCCACATTTCATTTTTAACCTCCACATGTCCAATCTATTTTTCTGTATTCTGTATTGTGGAGTCCTGTAGCTCAGTGGTTAGAGCACTCGCTTTGCAAGTGAGAGACCTGAGTTCAATTCCAGGCAGAGGGCGAAACCTTGGGCAAGTTTCCTTACTCCACACAGAGCCTAATAATAATCCCTCCAAAACCAAAAACAATAATAAATTGGTCATTTTCAATCTACGACTGTTTGTGGGACATTGCTGTGCGCAATTGGCTGCCGCGTTCGCCCACAAATATACAATCAATTCACTTTACAGTATATTCTGTGAAGCGCTTTGGGACGTCCTCCCGACGTGAAAAGCGCTATATCAAATGCAAAGATTATTATTATATTATTATTATTCCCTTCCGATATTCCTAAATTACCAACTGCTGCCTCTAAACAGCGAGACAAAATATTTATTAAGCATTTCGACTTTCGATCTGCTGTCTTCTCTGCTAATTTACCAACCCAATCTATCCGTGCCCACCAAATTTGCGTTTTTCCAATTCAGGAGCTTAGCGCTGGACACCTCCTTCACTCCATTCATTTTGATAATGAACCTGATCATGGTATGGTCATGGTTCCCTGAATGTTCTCCTGTCTTCAAGTTGCTCACCTGTGCAAATCAAGCATTGCATTTTTGTGGTGGGAATCTTAAAATAAAGACAAAAATCCTTGCATTTGATATAACACCTTATCCGTAAGCAGAATAAGTCTCAGAACTCAACCAGAAAACTACTTTTGGATTAGCCATCTAAATATATATAATGTTTTCACCTGAATAGTCTAGAGTACAATATTTAATTGCTGTAAGTGACTGTGCAAGTGAATGTTAATGCCCTGAAAAATTTCTTTCACGAACTGAATCTTTTTTAATTAGGGATTGTTCGAACGCTTTTTTTTTAATAGTGTAGCTATCACGGGCGCACTTCCGGGCTCAGGGCTACCCTCACAGACAGCCAGTCACAGACCACCTCAGACTCCAACACTGCCAGATCAGTCTCTGCCAAACTAACTCAGGACCCTGCACCAACCACCGCAAAGCCAACCGAGGACACACCCAACAAAGACAACAACAACAACAAGATTCCATTTATTGAGCGCCTTTCACGTCGGGAGGACGTCCCAAGACGGGTAAGGTGCACAATACCGAGTGTTAGGGCGGTGAGTTATGGATACTTGAATAACAAACTATTCTCAATCGTTGCTGGTTATGGTGCTCAGGGTAATTGTTCAATAACTTCAGATACAGGGGAGGAATAATAATAATCCTTACATTTGATATAGTACTTATCATGTCTTCGAGACATCTCAAAGAACAATATACTGTAAAGTGAATTGATTGTATATTTTGTGGGTGAAACACAGCAACCAACTGCACATAGCAGTGTCCCACAAACAGTCGTGGATTGAGTGACCAATTTATTATTCTTTTTTGGAGCAATTATTATCCCGAGCAAAGCGATTCACCAATCAACTAACCGTGTTCCTACTGCTAGGTAAACAGGCATGTGGAGTAAGGAAACTTGCATAACAATTCGCCTTGCCGGGAATCAACTCAGGTCCTTTCGCTTACGAGGCGAGTACTCTATTATTGTTCCTTATTTCTATCCAAAGCAATTACTACATGCAGTTCTGATTGCCATGGGGATATCCAGTCCTAAGTGTTCTATATCTGAGAGTGAATTTACTCACTGAGCTATTGAAAGGGACACCCCAAATATACCAACCTCAATCAGTTATTTAAATTAAAATTATATTCTCCATCTATCACTCTCCCGCCCACTAAAAATAAACAATTGGAGGATTGGCTTATCCTTTGGAGTCAGTGTCAGAAAATGCAATGTAATCGGATATCACTGGGAGTGCAAAGAAAGAACATTAAACTGTGTGATGCATTGTTTGGCTTGGACAAGGGTTGTGAAGGAAAAAAGTCCAGTTTCTGAAGGCTGTCGCCTTTCTCCTCGTGCTTCTCTCAGGTCTGGCATGGATGCCCATAACAGCGGTGAGCAAAATGAGCAGGTTTCAACTCCAAGGGGCAAAAATAGAACTGCAATATTCTATCTTTATTTTATAAAAAAAACAAATGTGCCTGTATAAACAGTTAAAAGGTACCAAAGGGCAGATTGCATTCTGTACATCTCCACCAGGTCCATGGTTACTCTCGTTAGAACTTTTCTTTTTCATTTTGTACTTTTAACAAGGACAGACAGTAACGGATTTGTAATTTAGTACATCAGCCAAAGAGAAAACTACATTATACAAAAGTCTGAACTCGGCAGCTCATCTTCCAACTGAAAAGACGGAGAGTTTCAGTCCACAGATCTGAATCATCCTCTGCTAAAGGACAGGGCAGCTGAGAAGCTGCTGTGTCTCACAGTACTAGCATAGTAGCTTATAGTGGGCTACGACCACAAGTCATTCTATCTGGCAATAAGAGGGCCAGTGTCCGTTACATGTTGGATGCAGATGCCATCTTGGTCAATTGCAACGAGTTGCTGGGTAGAGAGCTGTCACCTGCCTCCGAGTCACCAACGCTTCCCAGTGCAGTTGCAGACCATTTCTCGGATATTCAGTGCGCTTCGGTACTGTTATTGTGAAATGATATGTTCAGGCTAGCGCACCAGCACCGCCGTTTCCTGAGCACATCTGCCACTGGAGTGATCCGGCTTTGTGTAACAGAACACAGGCTCTTCTCCCGGGTTAAACCCAAATCCTCAATGTTCTTCTTTCCTGAGTTGGGCCACCGGCTGGACAGAGCAGATCTCCCAGAGGGTTGAGAATTGATCCCATTTGAAATGCTGTGTAGTGCTACTTGTCCCTTAGTAGATCCAGCTGGTCCTGGTATTCTGTGAAGAGTCTCTGGAATCTGAGATTCTGTCCGATGACTGGAAGCATCTCCTTTAGCAGCTCTCTTTTCCGCAGGCCCTGCAAAAGGAGCAGAAAGATCTTTCAGGTAAAGAGTTTACAATCTGCATTGAAGTGCATCGGTGAGCTGAGAATATCATTGCAAGTTACGTTGTTGAGTTGAGCTGGTGGTGACCCCACTCACTGTGGATCATTGCCTCAAATAGGTCAAAGCCTCTGGCCTAGTCGCAAGTAAGGCTGATGATCCTGAAGCTATCTTACTGAGCTGATACCTGTTTGGGGATTAGGGTACTGGATAAGGCCTGAGCAGTAAAAATATTGCGGAATAAGGGAACAGAGCTGGAAAGTGGAATTAATTACAATAAAAGGGTACCAATACAGGCAACAGTGGCAGACATGCTGGGATAAATATCTACGTTGAAAATGTCTATGTATTCTATTTATTCTGTCACATCCGGTCATGCTAACCTGCTCCCCAAAAAGGTGATGAAGCATCTCATCTACTTCCCGCTAGACAGAAAACAGACTGTAAACAGTTAAAGACAATAGCCCGCTAGATGCTTTGGGAGGAGGGGGGAAAGAGGAGAGAGAACCTACTTTCTATTGGGTTCTGAGTGCAAAATAGTTGCAAATTAGTATTCTGATGATTCTTTCACTGTCAGGATGCAGGAGCCCACAATCCAGGAGAAGCACTGTAACCTGGCTGCAGACGGACACTACTTTTTACAGCGCTTCTAACTAATTCAAGAAATAAGGAGAAGCAGCAGTTACTTTATAATATTTTAGTGTTGACTCATCTACTCTAACAGTTTTCTGACTGCAAGATGACTGTTACAGCCCTGCCTTCTGTTAAGTCCATGTTTTTCATTACGATGCCCACTTTCAAGTAACAACAACTTACATTTGTCTAGCACCTTTTACATCAGGAAGATGTCCCAAGATGCTGGATAGTCAGGATTTGGACCTGAGCAGGGGGTTGGGATCAGGAGGGTGGCAGGCAGGGTGAGTAGGAGTTTGGAGCGTGGCCAAAGGCTTATCAAAAAGGGTCTCGAGACGGGCCTTGAAGGAGGCGAGGGAAGGAGGTGAGGTGAAGAGAAGGGAATGTGGAATCAGAGTTCCAAAGGGTGGGTGCGGAGAGACTGAAGGCCGGACAAAGATTTTGAACTCTATCCTCTGGGGGATGGTTAGTGAATGGAGCCATGCGAGGGTGGGTGTGATAGGTTCATGGAACCGGGTGAACCTCTGCACGAGCTGTAGAGCGCTCGCACAAAGCACTCCTACTCTGTGTTGTTACCAATCACAGTGGGGTTTATTTACTTCATTGATTTGTTGCTTTCCAAACAAGAACAGGAACCTGAGGAAATGGGACAGCAATGTAGGGAGCTCTGCTTCCGATTATTCAAATAACATTTGCCAAAAGATAGCGTCAGTGTCACGTACGGTTTGTGATGCTCAAGTCCTACGTTTCATCCTGTATAGTAACTCAATGCAAGTCAACAAAATGAACTTCTTACCAGCACAGTCGATTCCCACTGGCTGCTGAATGAATTGTGAACAGGACCCAACAAATCCTTACACAGTTCCCTTAGGCGAGCCTCAAATCCTAGAATCAGAGGCAACAGTTAGCAAAATACTGCGCACCCGAGTTGAATCAATAATTCAAGGCAACGTGAAAAACAGCATTCCCAGCCTCCTACCTTCATTTACCAGGTAGCGTGTGTAGATGAGAAGCCAGTGCCTGTATTCCTGGCTGGATTTTAGCGTCATTGCAGCTGCGACCTGATTCTCCAGATATGCCAGTGTTGTTCCCTGCTGAAAGGCGTGGGGCATTGAGGAGAGCCTGGCAGCCTGGCGGCCAGCACTAGAAAAACAAAGAGGCAACTGAGCTGCAGAAACAGGAACTAGGATATAGAGTCACACACATAGTCACAATGACCTTAAAGTACACAAACAAGTGCCTATACACTACGTACAATGACCCCTCCTCGATCACATCGAGGACACCAGAAACCCAACAGGCCCATTCATTATAGAACAGATGTGTCAGCATTCTGTCAGTTTGCAATGCATTAATTGGCCGAGGAGAGTAAGTCACACCTAGAGACAACTGCAACAACAACTGTAAAAGACAGGTGTCAATCTGACTCAGCTGGTAGCACTCTCACTTCTGAGTCGGAAGGTTGTCGGTTCAATCCCCGAGCAAAGACTTTGAACGCAGTAGAGGCTGACACTTCAATGCAAAGCTGGGGTGTACTGCACAGTTTGAGAGATGTCCTTCGGATGAGCCATTAAACCTGTCTGATCCTGTCTGGTTCTCTCAAGTGGACGTTGAAGTTACTATTGCACTATACAAAAAGAGAAGGGAATTTCTCCTGGTGTCCTGGTCAACAATTCCCCCAAATAAAATTGGTCACTCACTTCATGGCTGTTTGTGGAGCATTGCTGCGTTCAAACTGTCTGCCATGATCGCCCACAGATAGAGTCAAAATACTTCACAGTAAATCCTGTGACATCTCGACAATGTGATAAGGCGCTATATGATATGCAAGGATTATTATAAAATCACATTTTTTTACCACAAAAATAATGAATAATGTTGCATTCTCTCCCTCCATCTTCCTTACCAACAATATAAAGCAAACAAGTTACATTATTTCACAGAACTCTGTACTTTACAGAGTCTTTTCAACAACAACAAAATTACATTTGTATAGCGCCTTTCACGTTGGGAGGACGCCCCAAGGCGCTGGACAGTCAGTGTTTCGGACCTGAGCTGGGGGTCGGGATTGGGGATGGGTAGCAGGGTGATCGAAAGCAGGGTCGAAGAGAAGGGGCTCGAGATGGATCTTGAAGGAGGCAAGGGAGGGGGCGAAGCGGAGGGACCGCAAGATGGAGTTCCAGAGGCTGGGGGCAGAGTGGCAGAAGGCAGAAGGATAGGCGAGGCAGGGGACGTGAAGCAGGCTGGAGCCCGCTGAGCGGTGGGAGCGGGCAGGATGGTAGGGGTTTAGGAGGTCGCAGAGGTAGGGGGAAGGAAGGGCATGGAGGGCTTTGAAGGTGAGGACCAGGATCTTGCACTGTATCCTCTGTGTGACGGGAAGCCAGTGGAGTCGGGTGAGGATGGGGGTGATAGAGTCACGGAACCTGGTGCGGGAGAGGACATGAGCTGCAGAGTTCTGGATGACCTGCAGCCTATGGAGGGAGGAGTTGGGGAGGCCGACACCTGGAATCCTCCTGCATTCAGCGCTTCCAGTGTGTTCAAATCAAAACTGTGTTTAACCAGCCCAAATCAAAAATAATTTACCATGAGGCTGTGACTCACCCAGCCTAGATAATGTACTTGGATAAACATTTCCAGAGAGGCCCAGCAGAACTGTGAGTCAGGGAGAACAATACCCTGCTTCCCAAAGGATTGCCCTTTTTTTCGGGTATAGAGGAGAGACTCAGGGGATACTGGGCTGGTTAGTAAAGGAAGCATTTGGGATGTGTGTGTGTGTATATATAAACACCCAGTATCCATGTTCTCTATACTGTTTGGATGTACTATGGTTAACCAGGTACTGCCCCCTACTGGAACTCTGTGGGTCCATATGCCAAATCTCAATTCCTATTATAAGAAAGAAACAGGATATGAGATATGAGGACTAAACCAACAGGCGAGAAAAGCATTAATCTGTGTAATAATGAGGTTCTTACTGAATGCAGATGAGGAGCTCCCTCTCGTGGGCCACGACAGGAACTGACAGCATCGAATTTGAATATAGACAAAATAATGATGATGATGAATTTATCTGTGTTGCTATTACAGATTAAGTATTTGTCTGATAAACTCGCTCCTTTACGGTCAGGTTATGCTCAGCAGAAAGTGCAAAGCACAGGAGTGGTAGGTTACCTCCTCCCACCTATACCACAAAATAGTTTGGAAAAATTGACGACCATAATCAATAAGATATGATGTTAGTCAACTTATAAGGTTAATGCTCCAGATCAGAGGGCGCTGATCAAAAATGAGATACCAATTTACTGTGCTAGAGGCAGCATTTAGCAGCACACTCAATCTCACTACAATAACAGCTTTCTCTTATTTTTCTTACTTCAGTGATAATCTTTAAGTGAGGATCCCCGAAGCATAATCCTGTTTTATTATGAATCGGTTCCTAAAGTATTTGTATTTGCTTCTGGTATTTCTGGATGCTAAGTCAAAGTTAAAGCCATTTTTAATGGCTGGATAGTACTGCTCATACGCTCGCAGGGTTAATTGTGAACTGAACGACTGGACCTTTAGTCAAAGCTGATGATAGCTTTAATTGCATGATCAGAACTTGCATATTAATTAAAAGAGAGTTCATTAAAAACCCCAGCTAGCCGGACTAATGGGGGACAAGTAGACACCCCCCAGTCTGACTCTCCTCGCGGAGTTGGCACGTGCTAGGAGAGTTGGGATAGCAGGAGGTTCCACAGGTCTGCTGAACTTTTTTTTAAAAAAAGTCCAGCTAGGTCTGAATTCTGGATATCCAGAGTCCGCTAAGCCAGAGGTTTACTGTATATATATTAACTCACTCATGTTGAAGAAAGATTGTGCCAAGCTGTGTTAATGATCTGAGATGTTATTCTACATGATGGACACTATATAAAAGCAAGTTGTTGTCACAAATATTGTATTTGTGACAATTAACAATTATCATCGTTAATAAATGATTTTACCTTTTGTAGCTATTAAAGCTTTAGCTTACCAACACTGCTGTTTCTATTCAGAGCTAAAATTTGATTATTATGTAGAATCACTTGTTCAGAGGCAGTGAGAAGGGTTCTGAACCTCATTTTGCTGCCTGCTTGTATTTGTGCGAGTGTGTGAGAAAGAGAAAGAGAGAGAAATTGCAAGCAAAGGGGAGAACATGCCTGTTTATCTATTTATACGCAGGCTGCATTGTCAATTTGACTTGTCAGTTCCTGCCAGCACCAGCAATGTTATCCGAAAGACAACAATGATATATCCAGATTCAACTTCCATTGTCAAATTAAATAAATTAACTGAATTAATAATAACATAATAATCCTTGCATTTGATATGGTGACTTTTATATCGAGAGGAGGTCTCAAAGTGCAGCTGCGAAGGATATACTGCAAAAAGTGAGTGATTATGCATTTTGTAGGCAAATGAGGGGGTCAATCTGCATACAGCAATGATCTGAGTCACAGATTACTCGTAGGATGATTAACTTAACTCATGATCACCAAATTAATATCAAACACCTAGAGAACTAATAAAATCATCTCAAAGCCATTCACATTCAACTCTTTTGATATCACTTACTCATTATTCCTTCAGTCCTCAAGAAACCACAATAGGCCTCAAGAGACTGCAGTGCATTTCCCATCGGTTAGTCACAAAATACAGATAGCTCAGCATTACAGAGTAGACCATCCTTATCTTGAGAAATGAGCGCAGTGGCAACAGAAGTGTTTTTACAATTATTTTATATATCTCAGGTATCAGATGCAAAGAGAATAATCCTCACCATTGCAGAGTACACACCCATCTGCATTAATAATAATAATCCTCGCATTTGATAGAACGCCTTATCACATCTTCCAGACGTCTCAAAACGCTTCACAGAATATTCTGTAAAGTGAATTAACTATATATTTTGTGGGCAGCCAATTGCACGCAGCACATTTCAGGCAATTAGATTTACTTTCAATTTGGACTGACGCTCTCTGAAGTGATTTCTTAACAAGGAAACCAGAATAAACAGAATAAATAAATATATAAATATATGGAGTCCTGTAGCTTAGTGGTTAGAACACTTGCCTCGCAAGCGACAGACCTGGGTTCTATTCCTGGCAGGCCGAAATGTTGGGCAAGTTTCCTTACTCCATACGCCTCTGTTTACCTAGCAGTAAGTAGGAACCTGTTTGTTAGTCGTTTGGCGGATCGCTTTTCCGGGGATAATAATCCTTCAAAAAAACCAATAATAATTTGGTCACTTCAATCCACGACTGTTTGTGGGACACTGCTGTGCGCAATTGGCTGCCGCATTTCGCCCACAAATATACAGTCAATTCACTTTACAGTATATTCTGTGAAGCGCTTTGAGATATCGAGATGTGAAAAGCACTATATCAAATACAAGGATTATTATTATTATAAACAAATGCATCAATAAATAATCCTTGCTTTTGACTTAGTACTTTTCACGTCAGGACGATGTCTCAAAGAGTTTCATCGCATTTACTGTAAAGTGTAGTAACTGTGTGTATTTTGTACGCAGGAAAGAATAAATGAGTAGTAAAAAAACACCCTTGCTGATGATAATAGGCTGTACTTACTTTATCCCACAGCCCTGTACTGTAGCCAGTGGCCCTGAACACAACATGGCCTCCTGAGATGTTAAGCAGCTCCGGTAATCTGCACATTGAACCAGTGAGTCCTGCTTATCCGAGATCAGATTCCTGAAAAATAAAGCAACCCACATAAAACAAAGATAATAAGTCCTTAGTATTCCTTTCATTTGATATAACCCCTTATCACATCTTTGAGATGTCTCAAAGCGCTTCACGGAATATACTGTAAAGTGAATTGACTGTATATTTTGTGGGCGAAACGCAGCAGCCAATTTTGTACAGCAGTGTCCCACAAACAGTCGTGGATTGAGTGACAAATTTTTTTTTGGTGTGAAGGAATTACTACCCCCGGAAAAGCAATCCGCCAATTGACTAACAACCGGGTTCCTGCTTACTGCTCGGTAAACAGAGGGTGTGGAATAACAAAACTTGCCCAATGTTTCGCCCTGTTGGTGATCGAACCCAGGTAGGCGAGTGCTCTAACCACTGAGCTACAGGACTCCATGATCCGAAAGGCTAAGAGTGGATGATTTTAAGGTAAGGTTAATTTGACAACCTGAACCTGGTAAGATCGTTATCAGCTCAATTGCAGAACAGTGTAGGAAATGACCCGGTAGGTATCAGCAGCTCCCAATGATGGGAGCCTTTAGCCACACACAATGCATTGGTTGGGTGACTGTCTTCCTTCTTGCATTGGTTTGATCAATGTAGCAATAACATTAATAATCACTGGCAATCACACTGATGCTGTTTTGGGACACTTCACATCAAAGTCTCGTGAACAGCACTCACTTATACATAGATAGATAGGATAAGTCCCTCATTGGTGGTGCAGTGTGTGTCCCATCGGCTAGTCACAAAATACAGACATTTTGGCTGTGATAAGAGAAAACTATTTCAAATTATTTTACATATTGCTCATGTATCAGTGTAAAACATTACACTATATACAGTGATCCACATTCTTGTCTATGCAATCAGATATAGTTCCAATTGGATTCGGGCAAGGTACTAATACTGACAATCCATTAGTGAGTACTGGACTTTTAGACTAGTTTCTACTGCAATCAGTCTTCAGTTCCAGAATACTGGGTCTCATGCGGAAAGATTTTGAATGGGATTTCCCAACCAGGAAACTAGAAATACATCATGCCAGCTCTTGTGATCTTCCCTCTGGCACAATCCATCTTTGGAGCAGAGTTGCCCGAGGTAATTTTTAAAAAATTGTCAATCTCCTGGTCATCCAGTCCAGTCAGCAATGTCACTTCCTGCTTTGTGCGTATGATTCAGAAGTCAGTATTTTTTTTGTATTTCCAGTGCTTGCGCTTGCACAGTCAAACCTGCTAGAGTGCCTTACGAGTGGATTGGAATTCTATGGATCTCATCATATGGATCCCATATCCCCGTTATTATGTCATTTATAAAATCTCACTCACTAAGCTTTTGAAGTGTAAACAACAGGAACTCTGGACAAGTCTTGTCCATTTAAGTTTACAGACATTTGAACAAATAGACCCCACAATTTACAGTGACCCAGCCCAGAAGTGGGCACAGGCTGATATTTCTGATACTGTCGCCTTCAATGCACAGTGTTAATATTTATGAATTCTCTTTGGAAAAGACCATGTTTTGGAATTGTGGGAAGTATGACGAAGCAAGTGGGGCTTTTCTTTCCTGTACAGATGTACATTGTGGGCAGTTAAGAAAAAACAAAGTCTGGATAATGAGTTATCTTTAAAAAGCAGCAGCAATGCGCTGGCCACAGATTAGTTTGTTTTGACGCCGAGGGGAACTCCCCATGTATAAAATGAAACAATCCTGACAAAAATACACCAAATGGAGGCTATTTCTGAAATACTGGCTGCCAGTTTGCTCAATTTGAAAGCGCAAGCAGCTCAGTTATAGTTCAATAGTCAAATGTCAACAGACAGTTTCATGATCATTTCAGTTCATCAGCTTCTGGGTGGAATTACCCACATCAAAAAGCATTAAGAAAAAGATCTTTTAAAATCCTAGAAAAGACACCCTGCAATCTATCCGGAACCAACAGTAAACATGGTTGCATGTTTAAGATTGTTAATAATAATAATCCTTGCATTTGATCCAGCGCCTTATTACATCTTCGAGACATCTCAAAGCGTTTCACACAATACACTGTAAAGTGTAGTCACTGTATTTTGTGGGCAAAACAAAATAACAAAATTACACTAACACGATAATGATTCAGTGAGAAATCTACTAAGTGACAGACAGGCACAAATCGCCTACTCACTGATGACGGAGCTTATTCAATGGCAAAGCTTCAAACTGCCCATCCTTAGTCTCCAGGTGCTGCAGTTACTGCATGTATTTAAAATATTAATTGCTCACTCAAAAGTTTTCATTGAAGGCATTCAATCAAAAAAAAGAAAAGCAGAAATCTGCAAGCAACATTGTAACCCATAAGGGGTTATAAACGCTTATAACCTAGGCCAATAGAAAAGTGCGGCCACGATTTATCCGTGGAATCCGTTATAAGCACGCTAAAAATTGAGGTATCTGGCGCCCGGGCCTCTTGCGCTGTTTATCCGACGCAGCTGTGGGCGGTCTGGCACCAGAGGGAAATGGGCTTCACTCCACTCGGGAGGCCCCGCTACTGTCTGTGAATCTCCCCTCTGTATGTGTCTGTGAGTGTCTGTGTGAGTGCACCTGTGTGTCTCTTTCTCTCCATGTGTGTATTATTTGTGAGTGTCTGTGTGTGTATGTCTCTCTCCTCTGTATGTGTATCTGCTCGGGTGTGTCTCTGGGTGAGTGTGGGTGTGTGTCTCTCTCTCTCTCCTCTGTATGTATGTGTTTGTGAGTGTGGCTGCGTGTGTCTCCTCTGTGTTTGTGTGTTCATGACTGTCTTTGTGTGAATGTGGTTGTGTATCTTTCTCCACTGTCACTGTGAGTGTGTGAGATCTATGTGTATGTGTGTATGATCTGTGTGTGTGTATGATCTACGAGTGTATGTGTATGATCTGTGTGTGTGTGTATATGATCTATGAGTGTGCGTGTGTGTATAATCTATGAGTGTGTGTGTGTGATCTATGAGTGTGTGTGTGAGATCTAGGAGTGTGTATGATCTGAGTGTGTGAGTGTAATCTATGAGTGTGTGTGTGTGTGATCTATGAGAGTACGATCTATAAGTGTGCGTGTGCGTGATCTGTGCGTGTGCGTGATCTGTGCGCGTGTGTGAGAGTGTGCGTGTGCGATCTGTGTGTGTGTGTGTGCGATCTGTGTGTGCGTGCGATCTATGAGTGCGTGTGCATGATCTATGAGTGTGTGTGTGATATGTGTGTGTGTGTATGATCTATGAGTGTGTATGATCTATGAGTGTGTGTGTGTGTATGATCTATGAGTGTGAGTGTGTACGATCTATGAGTGTGAGTGTGTACGATCTATGAGTGGGTGTGTGTATGATCTATGTGTGTGTGTGTGTATGATCTATGAGTGTGAGTGTGTATGATCTATGTGTGGCTGTGTGTGATCTATGAGTATGTGTATGTGTATGATCTATGAGTGTGTGTGTGTCTCTCTCTGTCTGTGTGTATGTCTCTCTCTCTCTGGGTGTGTGTGTGTGGTGGTTGGCCCTGAGAGGCAGGAGATGGTGAGCTCCTGTAGCCCCGCAGTCAGGACACTGGTCATGAGTGTCTGTTTCTTGGTGGATCTCCAGGGCCTGCGCTGGTGTCGTTTCCCTCCCCCCCAACCCCCAAAATGAACCACCCAGTTTTTGTTAAAGAAGAAATCATTTTTAAAAATTGCAACAATCTGATATGTGTTATTTCCTCATGTTTAGTTTTATCAATAAAGTGAAAAAATGTACGTCGGCAGTGAAATGTACCTCAACAGCACCAATCAACACCCTGCAGTTTTCAGCAGAATTTGTCAAATCCCCCTGCAATTATTGGGCAAGTATTTCCGCACTTTTCAATTGGCCCAGGTTATAACCCAGACCAAGCAATTTAAAATATATATATAAATATGGCCTAAAATAAAAATGTAACCAGACATTTTCGACCACTGCCCAATGTGTCGCATGTAGCCTGACTCCACACTGACTACGATTACAACTCAACTACATCATAATGAATCGTCTGTCATGGCAAACCGGCCCGGATTAATCACGTTTCAAAGATAGTTTAAATATATTGATAAATACAACGTGAACGGTAGCAACATGTACAACAGGATTCATGAGGACTTGAGACTGTGTCTCACTTCCTTTCCTGGCTCCTGAGTCATGTGCCTTCCCAGTTCATTATTCAGTGAAGTATAGAGTCCTGATACAAACCCATTATATAAAACATACTCACCAAAGTTGGTATTCTTATAAGGGACAAATGAATGCAACAATTTGCTAATGTACGGTAAAGTTGTGTGGTAACAGTGTCCCATCCAATTATTATAGGTCCACCTTGCAATGACCATTTATATGTGACTTTGATAATTATTTAATGCCCTTTTCATACAAACTGCTTTGAACCGTAAAGCAGTTAGGAGCAGGAAGCCTGATTCATATTCCGCTCCCCTGCCCCACCCTTCAGAATCGCAATGGGGAAGAGCAGACCTTGTAAATACCCAGAGCTTGCTAATCAGCACNTTTTTTTTCAACATTATTATAAAGAGCCGTTTGCTTTCAAGTGACTGTTTCTTAGTGAAGCCTGAAGTGATTTGCCTGGCTGCATATATACAACAGTGGTGTGAACTGATGTGCTACTAAAAACATGGCTTCAGTACCTTGGGACATCCTCCCGATGTGAAAGGGGCCATCCAAATGTAATTTTTTATTTTACTGTATTAAGCTGATGTCAGCAGATTGCCTCCAGTGTCGTTTGCTTTTGAATCAATTGCTTGATGCCATTTTCAGTACGCAGCACAGCATATACAGGGCATTCCAGGGTTGTACACTTGCCCTTTTGTACAACACAGGACTTGGTTCAGGTTGGGAACAGCCCCGGCCCTCACTGCTTACCATGTGCAGAGTGAGGTGTTGAAGCAGTACGACTTCCCATTGGACAAGGTGACGACTGGAACACCATGGTGTGTGAGCAGCGACTGAGTGATAGTGATGTCGTTACCTGTGAACAAAAGGCACCAGATCAGAGACGTCTACCGATTATACAATAACATAATAATCCTTCCGTTTGATGTAGTGTTGTCGAGGCACTATCGTATTATCATGTCGTCGAGACGTCTCAAAGCGCTTCACAGGATAATGCTGTAAAGTCATTCGGCTCTGTGTATTTTCCTGGTGAACATGGCAGTTAATTTGTGCTATGGGATCTTTAATGTCCACCTGGACAGGCAGATAGGACCTTGGTTTAAGGTCTCATATAAAGGATGGCACCTTTAACAATGCAGCATTGCCCCCCCCCGCCCCACACACATCTCAGCACTGCATTGAAATGTCAGCATAGACTGCATGGGTTCCAAGTCCTGATCTGGGTCTTGAACCTGCAACCTTCTGACTCAGAGGAGAGAGTTCTACCAACTGAACTGGGCTGATACACGTATATTGCACTGTAAAGTCCATTAAACTCATTTTTAATTCACAAAGTAAAAACTTGGATAATTTGGTATATTTTTACTGCGTTTTTTTTACAATATCAGGCCTTTCCTGCTTCAGTTAAATAGAGGAGCAGTCTCCAGCAAAGGTTTGTTCAATTTTATGATAGAAATGCCGCTATCTTTGAGAAATTACTTGAGCTGAATATTTGAGCCACGTTGGTGGGTGGGGTGGGGGGGAGTGAGCAGGGGACTGTGGGAGAAGGAGATGAGACAGCGAGGTGGGGGAGAGAACATGAAACAACAGAATGCCTCATCTAAATGTTACAAATTTGCATGCCTGCCAACTGGCTATGACACAAAAGAAAATACATTTGTTTACTCCAAGCTTAATGTGGCTCCTCGGAAACAGATGCACAGGAAATTACAATGAGGAACTGAAACTGCAGTGACAAAAAAAACAGCACATTTGTTATATTTTTAAATCTATCGGGCAGTTTTAGTATGAATCAGGTGCAATGGGCAAACAGCTGGAAAGGCTCAATCGCCGTTGCATTCATTTTATTTTCTAAGCCTCACAGTTCAAATTAACAGGAAATCATTTTATAAGTGTAATACAATGCTGGTGTATTGTAAAAGCTGCACGTCTGTGTAAAGAGGTAACCCAAGGTTGAGACAGTTTATGTCCTGCTGGATGCAATCTTATTACGCAGCATTGTGCCCTAACATCCAGTTGGTCATTCTGAGCAGCTTTCTCCTGGCATTCACACAGAATCTCAATACATATCCTCCGCTTTGGGAGAATTATGGTTTATATTTCCAGGAGCACTATAACCAACAGATAGTTTCAAATAACGAACATTGTTTTCCCACTTAGATCTGACCCAGGGAAAGAATCAATGGCATAAAGTATAGATAGACTAAACATGTCATGCAGTCACAAACATTGCAACATGGACTCAAAATCAGAGGGAAGGCAAAGAGACAGCTCAGATATCCATTCTTTATAGATAGAGTAGCGAGTTTGTGGAATGATAAGCCAGGGAAATGGTGAGGCAGATGGTAAGATAGATTGTTTCAGCAAATTCAAGAGAACAATTAATTGTACAGGGTGACCAAAAAGTTGTGATTCCCTGACAGTGTCTAATAAGTCTTAAAAAAATGATGATTTTTTTTTAGATAATAGGGTAGATATCACAACTTTTTGGTCACCCTATATAAGAGAGTTGTACACAAATTGTTTCAAGAGCTGTTTTAATTCCATCCCATCAAAGAGCACTGCCTTTACATTCAGTCCTAGTGGCATTAGTCTGGAAGGGATCACAAATGGACATGGGACACACTGGCTGACAGTCCGAGTAAAGGCTGAAACACTGCAACATCAGCCCAGAAAACCCAGAACATTGTCAGAATTTTCCAATTCTCCACTGTATGGCCAAAAACAGTAAACAAAGGTCAGTACCTGATAATATAGTGATTAGTGACTCGTCCTTGACTAGCACGGTCAACTTTTTTGCATCCCTAGAAAAGGAAAGAAACAATTAAAATCTTCTCCTATTTGAGGTTCACCGTGCTTTTATAGATCCCCTCGGAATTTACTAACTGTGGAGCTGCTCTTTGTTCTGTGTAAGCAATCTATGTTAGAGGTATTCTTTTCAACAGCAGTGACAACTGTTGAGGAATTCTTTTCAACAGCAGTGACAACTGTTGAGGAATTATTTTCAACAGCAGTGACAACTTACCAGACAGAGAGTGTTGCAGTAGCCATGAGAGCCATCACAAAGTGACTTGCACAGTGCAATGTGGAGATGGGTGATCCGAGGAGGATAGCGGGTAGCAGCCGTCGGCCACTGGCTGAGAATACTGATAGTGTCCGCTCCTCGCAAGCAACGCTCACAAGGTCACTGAAAGGGAAGAAAATGGTTCAGGCGAAAGAAAGGATTGACGAACCGTAAAAATAATAATAATCTTTGCATTGGATACAGTGTTTTTACGTCTTCTCGACGTCTCAAAGCGCTTCACAGAATATATAGTAAAGTGAATTGACTGCATGTTTTGTGGGAGAAATGCGGCAGCCAATTGCGCACAGCAGCGTACCACAACAGTCGTGGATTAAGTAAACAATTTTTTAAACTTTTTTTAAGGAATTATTATCATGGATTCTTTTAGTGTAGGTGCATGCCAGCACTTGGGGAGCAAGTCAGCTGGTTGCGCACATGCGCAATATTGCTATTGGATGAATGTGAATGTCATACATGGGAATCCACTGTAGTTTACACCGCCAGACGGCAATGCTGCCTACACTTAAGACCCCATGACTCATGTGGGACTTGAAAACACTGCTGACCCAGACACAAGAGTGCTACTAACTGACCCAAACTGATATCTGAATGAAACTTCATCAAGTAACGTAAAGAACACCCATCGTTAAAATGCCAATGTAGTACAATGTACACAACCATAATACATGACAGTGTAGTTGGAGGGGACCGGGTAGCGGAGATTGACAACATGATCATTCACATCTGTGATCTGCTGTTAAGGCTAAATGAGTGGGAGGAGGAAGAGGAGGGGAAGAAAGTATTTTCTTTGCTAACTGTAATGGTCCATGCCCCCGGCCTGCCTGCTCCACTATCAGCGGTCGGGCCTTTAGCCTTTCTGCCCCCACCCTCGGAAATCCACCTCGGCGCTCCTCCGCCTCAGCCCCTCCCTTACTCCTTCAAGGCGGGTCTGAAGACTTTCCTTTTCAACAGTGCTTTCGGTGATCTTCCCTCCTCTACTACACTTAACCTCCACCCTCTTGACTTCAACCTTCAGCCTGGGTACTAACCCATCACTCTCCAGCACCTTGGGACATCCTCCCCATGTGAAAGGTGCTATGTAAATACAATTTGTTGAAAATGTCATACAAGTCAAGAATAATCTTGGAACATTATTACAAAAGAAGACATTAGATACTGGAACCAATCTACTGGAAAGTAACCACAGAACAACAAAGAGGAAATGAAGGGGTATAAAGATATATTTCCACATATTATTTAAGACAATATGTTCCACCTACTAAACAGTTCCATCTAATAAACGACCAATAAACATGGATAGAAATGCATATGTGTTGCCCTCATGACTTGTAAAGAAATGAGGGCTACAAATTAATCTGGCTGGGTGTGCATTTCTAACAAAACACTTCAATATTTTAAAGAGAACCAGTAATAGAAAACTACTTCTGCTTTCTCTCTCCACAAAACATGAGCAGAGAAATTTAGTACTAAAACAGCCTGGTGACAGGAATACCGTTGCACTTCAGTATACCCAGACAGTATCAGCTAGATCTGGATGACGGGTCCCTCACAAGCACCAGTCATCTGGTTCAAAGCCCACACTTACCAGCTCCCTGCAGCAGTGAGGATTCGACTGGTTAGTAGTGTGTCCCATTCTTTTCCTTCCCTCATGCACTTTAACCGGCTCAGTTTGCACCCAGCGACTGCAGAGAGCTCATTCTCCACTTCTATGTACATAGCTGGATCAGAGCTCACCTGAAAGCAAGAAGGGGAATTAGTACTCTGCACAGATGCCCTGAGCTCCTCATTCACACACTGGAGGGGGAGAGAAACCCACAGCAGTGCTGGTTTATTTAGAAAGGTGCCTTCAGATTAACAAAATAAATTTTAATGTCAATGTCATTATTATTAAAACTATTTCTCTTTTTAGCGATGAATAACTACAGATTTTTTTTAAAAATCGTTCAACCAATTATGAGTCAGGCCATGACAACCTTTCCCTTCCTGTGGCTGGTCAGCCCAGCTGATGTCATCACTCACCTGCATATTAAATGCTTTCTTTGGCGTTGGTGTTGGGAGTTTGAAGACGATCGGGGGCGCCGAGACTCGCAGAGTCTCCTTCTCTGTTGTTGGAACCGCCTGTAAAGGAAGGCCACCATAACCTGCTTTAGTCACTTTTACTGCATTTCATTTGTGTGTCATCCTGGCTCATTGATAGCACTCTCTCTCCCCCCCCACCGAGTAAAGGGTTCTGGATTCTACACTGTGCATGGGTAATTCAATGCAACTGGTGAGTGCACATGCAGCAAAAAGTCAAGATGCATTGAATCTGTGCACTTACTGGCTGCATTGAATTACGCACATGTAGTGTAGGTTATTGATTCAACTGGATTTTATACCACTTATATAGTTTACCTGCAACCGGGTTTTGTGTAAGTCATATTAAATGTTATGGTCCCGACTGATACGACTTATGTGAGTTCTGTTGTATTTATTATTATTGCTGACTTGCAGGAGTTCTCTCTAGTGAATATCTGCTGATTGAGGGGAGAGATGATGGTGCTGAGAACAAAACATTTTGCTGTTAAACACTGAATCGCAATGAGCCTAATCTTGACCTCAATCAGACAATGTTCACACGTACCAGCAAGGGGTCATTGAAGTGCAATTAGGCCCGTTTTATCCCATCGCTAGTCCAGGAAAACAAGAGATCAAGTATAGTCACCCCATTGCAACAGAAGATAATGCAGGACAGATCCAAGGGCGAACCTGGAACCCCACTTAGGGCTCTGGTGCTACACTGTTTGGTAAATTTACTTACTGAGTTTCCAAGGAGTTAGGCTCCAAGTTCCAGAGCAGAAGTGAGCATTACCTGAGTTGCAATGGCTGTGAGTGTTTGCTTGGATTCCTTCCTCGGTCGGCCTTTCTTCTTTTTTTCTACAACCTCCCCTTCGGTTTCACTCTTCCGTTTGGACAATGCTGAGATTTTGGAAGCTGGGATCTTCTCTTCGCTGTCGCTGCTACTCTCCTGAACCTCTTTAAGCTTCAAGTCTTTGGAGGGTCCCTGCTCTTTACTCCTAGAAAAAGGGAGATTCACCTGAATTCATAGCTATTAATGCTGACAAACCCTTTCTCCCCCACTCTCTTCAAAAGCTCCACAGTCCCAAGTAGCAGGACAATTTACTGGCGACACGAGTTATACAGAATAACAACTGTTGGACACACATGGACATGAAGAGCAATGCATCTCAGAAAAAACTCCTTTCCACCCCTTGTCGACATCTAGCCACTCCCCAGCCCGTACCTGTCCAAGTCACTCTGCCTGACAGCAGCTGAGATGGGAGTGGTTCCTGGAGTTGATTTGGATCTTTCAGTGAACCTTGAGTCAAGTGCTTTCATTGGTTCAATCCTTGAAGGGGAAGTTAACAATGGAGTGTTTGTGGGGACAGCACTGGATACACTGATGGCTGCAGACCTGAAAATGAAAGACAAGACAGTATGCAAAGGCGGCTTTCACCATCTATAGTATTCCTGATAATATTCAGCCATCTCACACTCCCTACAGTATTCCTGATATTGAACAGGCATCACACAACCTACAGAATTGAGAATTGTTATAAAGGCCTCAGCTGCATCTCTGCTTCAAGTAAATAATTCAATTTATTGTGCTAGCTTCACCTGCAAATGGATAACTGATCATCAACACCATCCTGGGAATCACTGAAAATTTAATGCAGAACTTGCAAAGACAAACAAAGTGGAGTCCACAACAATGGGAATCCAGGGAAGTGATGCTGATGCGCCATGGAGCTATAGTGATCACACAGAGTGTCTGTATGTTCACCATATTTAGAAATAGATCACAGCAGTGATGAATATCTGGGAAAGAGAAATGATGATATTTTAGACAGTGCATCTATAAAATAGGCTATGGAAAGTAAAATAGCACTCAAGGAAAAAGGAAAAATGAAACAGCAAAATGGTGTGGGATTATTATTAATAACGAGGACATGGACTGGTATTTGCCCAAAATAAACTGCCATAGCATACAGAATCATGATAACTCCTGCTCAGAATTGTCAGCAAGTGGCCAAGACTGCCACCTAGCAATTCTCAATTGAAACAATTGTTTTCCAAACAAACAGTTCAGTAAATAGTAAAGGGATACAGGTTTAAAAGTTTTTTAAAAAAAGCGAATAGTGAGATTGGGATTGGAACTCGAGCTGGATGACAGGGAGTTGGTCAGGTGAAGGGTCTTTTCTTGTTCCTATTACATACAGCTGGACAAGAGCTTCAGGATTTTTGACACCTGCTTTGAGGGTAATGTTACATCACATCATCGTGTGATTAAAAGGTTATCTGGTCCAATTACAACTGTTTTGTTGTATTACACTGCCCAAAATGTGAAGCTTATCATCAAGTACAATAAATGCCTTAAAAAGACCTAAAGGACTTATACGTTTTGTGGTGTAGTATTCAGCTGGATTGCTCAATGATTATCAGGAACACACTTTCATTGCACAGTGTTCCCAATAATGGCAATGCTGAAGTGCACATTGATTCATGTTTCCATCAAAAAAGGACACAGGTCAATAATGCATGATGGTAACATACAGGGGTTACACATCCTCTAACTTATTAAAGGGTACTGGACATACCATCAAAGATCCTCTTACTTTGGAATCAAAGTTAAAAACTTAGTTCAAACAAATTTAAATTCAAACAGGTGTCAGCCTGGCTCAGTTGGTACTGTCTCGCCTGCGAGTCAGAAGGTTCCTGCCCCATGTCAGAACTTAGAACGTATAATGTCTGCGAGACACTCCAATGCAGTGCCGGGGGAGGGGTGCATTATTGGAAGTGGCATTCTTCAGATAAGATGTTAAACGGAGGCCCCACCTTACTGTTCATCTTTATGTTAAAAGATCCCATGGTACTATTCAAAAAAAGGAAGTTCCTCCCAATGTCCTTGCCAACAATCTCCCAGATAAAACTGCCACGTTTGCCTTTAGGTACACAGTCAGTACACTTCACAGTAATATTCTGTGAAGGATTTTGGGTGATCTGGTAAAGCGCTCTATCATATGCAAAGATTATTATTAAAAATTGAGGCAATGTTGCTTCTATTCCAGCAGATGGTGCAGTCGTACCACAAATACCACAAACAGCTCAATCTGTTGCTTGCTCCACCCTCAACTGGGGGAGGTTAATGAACTTCTGCTGCTTTGTAATTTATGGAGCAGGTTCAGAATAAGATTATATTTATACTAATAATAATCCTTGCATTTGATAGAACACCTTATCACATCTTCAAGGCATCTCAAAGCGCTTCATAATAATAATAATGTCTCAAAGCGCTTCACTTTATATACTGTGAAGTTAATTTACTGTATTTTTGTGGGCGAAATCCTCTGCAGTGCTTTAGGACGTCCTCCCAATGTTTAATAATAATAAAAAGGCTCATTATTTTCCACTTTAGATTGTTTGTAACCCTCTGAATTTTGTGCTCAAAGTGAAGAATATAAATGCTGGGAAATAGAACACCTTCTGATTTTACATGTACAGCATTCCACTGTTCCAATATTTCATCTACTCCTCCCTGACAGTGAACTTAAACTGGGGTCCTGTCTGCCTGGTTCAGGTGGATGTCAAAGATCCCATGGTACTATTTAAAAAGAGAAGGGATTCTCTCCCAGTGTTCTGACCAGCAATCCCCCAAATAAAATTGGTCATTCACTTCATTGCAGTTTGCAGGATAATGCTGTGTGCAAATTTGGCTGCCATGTTCACCTACAAAATACATAGTCATTACACTTTACAGTCTATCCTGTGAAGTTCTTTGAGACATTCTCTTGTGAAAGGTGTTTTTTCAAATGCATGGATTAATATTATTATAATCTCAGAGAAGCAACAGTGTGCCATTTTCCAGTTTTGACACAAGCTAGTATTGAAGTAAGGATACCAATTTTGGTGTCATTTAAGGGGAACTTTTTTGTTTGTTTAGATTGTCCAAATACATTTCCGGTAGAAATCTTACAACTATAGGAGAATGAGATTTGCATGCCAATAATCTAGGTCAGACACAAACCGAGGTCCCAAGAGGTTGAAGCAGCTGTGTACTGCACAATGAGCCACCTGGTCCCCTTCCCCCCCTTTAAGGATGATTGCCCACTTTCATTTTGTTCATTACAAAGTGGTTGGTGCAGTCCAATTTTCTGCCAAGAAGCGGTGCTGTTGCTCTAGCAATCATTTCAGTCTGGCAAAGAACCCAGCTGAACATCACCACCTGCAACTTACTCCACTGAATGGGGGAGGGGAAGAGAGAGTTCTCCTCTGCCCTTCCTATACATACAACAGTCAATTCAAGCTTATATTAAACGCTGAAAAGGTATCAATCAGGAAGACATCAAAACTTATTTGGAGTCCTGTAGCTCAGTGGTTAGAGCATTGCCACGCAAGTGAGAGGACCTGGGTTCGATTCCCGGTAGGGCGAAACATTGGGCAAGTTTCCTTACTCCACATGCCTCTGTTTACCTAGCAGTAAGTAGGAACCTGGTTGTTAGTCGATTGGCGGATCACTTTTCCGGGGGTAATAATTGCTTCAAAATAAAATTTGTGGGACGCTGCTGTGCGCAATTGGCTTCCACTTTTCGCCCACAAAATATACAGTCAATTCACTTTACAATATATTCTGTGAAGCGCTTTGAGACGTCTCGAAGACGTGAAATAGCGCTATATCAAATGCAAGGATTATTATTATTATTCCTCCAATCAAGTTTTGTCCTGTATCTGAGCTTAATGAACAACTATCCTGAGCACCATAACCAGCAAAGACTGAGAATAGAGTTAGTTATCCAAGAATCCATAACTCACTGTCCTAACGCTCGGTATTGTGCACCTTACCCGTCTTTGTTGGGTGTGTCCTCGGTTGGCTTTGTGGTGGCTGGTGCAGGGTCCTGAGTTAGTTTGGCAGAGACGGATTTGGCAGCGTTGGAGTCTGAGGTGGTCTGCGACTGGCTGATCTGTGAGGGTAGCCCTGAGCCCGGAAGTGCGCCCGTGATAGGTACGCTATTAAAAAAAGCGGTCGAAAAATCCCTAATAAAAAAAACAGATTCAGCTCGTGAGAGAAATTTTTCATTCACTTGCACAGTCACTTACAGCAATTAAATATTGCATTCTAGACTATTCAGGTGAAAGCATTAAATATGTTTAGATGGCTAATCCAAAGGCCGTTTCTGGTAGAGTTCTGAGACTCATTCTGCTTACAGATACCAGATGTTAAAGCCATTATTGCACTTGTTTCTCCCTCTGAATTAAGCTTTTTTGTAGACACTTAGCTGCCACAAATGATAATGCTCCTCAAAGTCACACAGGCTACATGTTAAATTGACTCTGAGGGTCAATCCCCATCAATTTCCTGCACAATATGTCGGGACACATTTGTACTTGCAAGACTTGTGACTGCTTAGTCTTTGGTTATGTTTCGATTTCTCCCCACAACTCTTCCAGTTTTTTCCTTTCCTGTCCTACTTATATTCTGGTATAATTCCACAAGTGTCAGGGTTTCCTTTGTACTTCACCAAATTGACCATTGTTCAAGTATAGGCGAACATAATAAGTGTTAACCATATAGAGGGCACCACAGCCTAGCCTATCCTGCGCTTGCTCAACACCCACAAACATTCCACTTTCAGTGTTCATTGACTGGCTGATTGATTTCCACCGCCACCCACCCAAGCCTGGGACACTGAAGCCAAAGGAAGCACTCCAATCCATCAACCTAGCCGAGAACAGCTAACTCAGCACAGCCTGAGAATCAACCCAGGGACCTCCCCCTCTCTATATTTTCTATATTCAGTTTCACACTGACCAGTGACCATATTGACCTGTCCGTTCCCTCAGCTCAGCAGCCTGCTCCATGTCACCCGCCTGGCCCGTCCCACCATCGGCTGTAGGGTCTTCAGCTTCTCTGCCCCCACCCTTTGGAACTGCATCCCATATTCCCTTCACCTCGCTCCCTTCCTTACCTCCTTTAAGGCACGTCTCAAGACCCCTCCTCTTCGATCACCCTCCTACCCCTACCCTCCCTGATCCCCAACCCCAGGTCCAAATCCCAAGGGACGTCCTCCCGACGTGAAAGGCGCTGTGTACGTGTAATTTTGTATTGTATTTACATATTATTTCAATCGCACAACATGAGGCCAAACAGATTAGTGGACAAATAAAACTAGACCAAATGTAAAGGTGACAGAAGGGAAATAATATTGCAATTTGAGCCACCTTCCCAACTAAAGTATATATAAGTTACACGGGTATTAATGAGTTGAGGAAGGGGTTGCAATGGACTTGTTGAGGGAGAGGAATAGGGAATCATTTGCGAAAGTCCTCAAAGTAGATCCGCCACAAAATTGATAATTGGAGAGAAATTAAAGGTCCTAATTTGCTCAGACTTAATCGTCCTTTATTGAACAACTCTGAAGCATTTCATTGCAACAGAATAATCCAGTTACACATAAAGAAGAGTTAGCCGCGGGGTCTGGGCGACACAATAAATTAAACCCAGTTATTTCAAAGTCTGGTTCCTGCATAAAAACCTGCCATGGACAGAGGAGACAAAGGGGACAAAGTACTCCTCTTACCTTCAGCACAAAACCTCAAGGATTCCATTGAAGGCGAAGGAAATATCACTAATCCAATAGGCATTCAGTACCATTCCTGAGCTAATGCAATGGAGGCGTTCTTCTGCATCTAATCATGTTGCCCCTAACCTATCAGGCTGAAATGAACTATTGCCGAACCCTAACATCCGAGTCCTGTAGCTCAGTGGTTAGAACACTCGCTTTGCAAGCGAGAGACCCGAGTTCAATTCCAGGCAGAGGGCGAAACCTTGGGCAAGCTTCCTTACTCCACACAGAGCCTAATAATAATCCCTCCAAAACCAAAAACAATAATAAATTGGTCATTTTCAATCCACGACTGTTTGTGGGACATTGCTGTGCGCAATTGGCTGCCGCGTTCGCCCACAAACATACAGTCAATTCACTTTACAATGTGTTCTGTGAAGCGCTTTGGGAAGTCCTCCCGACGTGAAAAGCGCTATATCAAATGCAAGTAGTTATATTATTATTATATAACTTCACCTACATATATATATTTATATATTTTTTAAAGTGAACATGAGAAATGGAGTATGTGCAATTAACCCTTCAGGTAACTGTCCACCGTTTATTCCTCAGCAGGCTAAGGGCTCAGTAAGATCTTGCCATTATTGTTTAGAGGGGATCTGGGATCTGTTTCAATGGTCCAGCAAAATGGACACAATATTACGTGTTTAAACCTCTCAGAGACTAGAATGCTTGTTTGGTGAGGTTGCCTTAATCACTTCGTGAACAAAGAAAAAAGTCCATGATTTGTGATGTTCAGCTTTCTAAAGTTGAAAGTCAACAAGACTGAGGCTCTCCTGATTGGCTCCCGTCAGCGCCTCCACACCTCAGGCACTGACAGCATCACCATCCAATGCGCACTCCACCTCACTAAGCCAGTCCAGAACCTTGGGGTCTTGTTTGATCCTCAACTATCCTTTCTACCGCTCATCCATGCCATGTCCTGATCTGCCTTCCCCCACCTCCGCAACATCGACTGGCTCCGCCACTGTCTCACACCGCAGGCTGCTGAGACACTCATACATGCATTCATAACATCCAGGCTTGACTACGCAAACTCCCTGCTTATCACCCTTCCCAATTCCTCCCTCCACAGACCGCAGATCATCCAGAACTGTGCAGCCCGTGTCCTCTCCCACACCAGGCTCCACGACCCTATCACCCATCCTTGCCTGACTCCATTGGCTTCCCATCACACAGAGGATACAGTTCAAGATCCTGGTTCTCACCTTCAAAGCCCTCCATGGCCTTGCTCCCCTCTCCCTCTGCAACCTAATCCCCTACAAACCTGCCTGCTCAGCGAGCTCTGGCCTGCTTCACGCCCCCCACCTCACCCGCCCCACCATTGGCAGGTAGTCCTTCTGCCATTCTGCCCCCACCCTCTGGAACTCCATCCCGCAGTCCCTCTGCCTCGCCCCCTCCCTTGCCTCCTTCAAGGCCCATGTGGAGTCCTGTAGCTCAGTGGTTAAGAGCACTCGCTTTGCAAGTGAGAGACCTGAGTTCAATTCCAGGCAGGGCAAAACCTTGGGCAAGTTTCCTTACTCCACACAGAGCCTAATAATAATCCCTCCAAAACAAAACAATAATAAATTGGTCATTTTCAATCTACGACTGTTTGTGGGACGTTGCTGTGCGCAATTGGCTGCCGTATTCGCCCACAAATATGCAGTCAATTCACTTTACAGTGTGTTCTGTGAAGCGCTTTGGGACGTCCTCCTGACGTGAAAAATGCTATATCAAAATGCAAGGATTATTATTATTATCTCAAGACCCTCCTCTTCGACCGTGCCTTCGGTCACCCTCCTGCCCCGCCTGCCCTCCACCCGCCCCAATCGCGAGCTCGCGTCCAAAACACTGATTGTCCAGCGCTTTGGGACATCCTCCCGACACGAAAGGCGCTATACAAATGTAATTTTGTTGTTGTAGATCCACCCATTTCTATTGTAGAAGAGTTAAAAGACGGAATCTCACCATCAGCTAATCATTGTTCATTCCAGGCAGCATAGATGCCTTGCGTAGTAGCTCCAGTCTGCCATTCACTGGAGCAGCTGCAAGTCATTTGCCCACAGGATAAGGGACAATGCATGAGTAAGATCAATGGTAGAGTGGTTTCGGCAGTCAGACCTTCAGCTTGTCCACCTTTTGGAACTCCATCTCACATTGCCTTCACCTCCCTCCCTTCCTTGCCTCAAGACCCTCCTCTGCAACCGTGCCTTTGGCCACCCTCATAACCTCCTTGCCCACCTCCCCACCCCGCTCTATACAAATGTAATTTTGTATTGTATTTTATCCAGGCAAAGGATAGTGAAACAGTGGGCATGGCATTGTAAATCTGAAACTCTTGTCCCGCTGAAGAAAGCTCTGCATCGGTTATATACTGCCAGAAATGGTAAACCCCAATCTACTACTCTGAAGCAGCGCAACATTATCCTGATGGGCACAACACAATGAATTTGCACATTCGCTGGTTCAGAAATCTGTCAAACGAGGAATATGAACCCTTAATTTTATCTCAGTTTGGAGACACATTTTTAAAAAAAAATTCCCTCAGTTTTGAAAAGAAATCGATGCTGATCAAGCTGCTGCCTCTGGGCACTGAGTGCACATTGTAAAGCAACCTAACCACAGCATTGTCTCTTTGTGAATAATGTCTGGTATAATGCTGTTTTAAAACCACAGAACACAACAACAACAAAATTACATTTGTAAAGCACCTTTCACGTCGGGAGGGCATCCCAAGGTGCTGGACAGACAGATTTTCAGACCCGAGCTGAGGGTCGGGGTGAGGGGGGGTGAGCAGGGAGATCGAAAGCACGGTCGAAGACGAGGGTCTTGAGATGGTTCTTTAAGGAGGCAAGGGAGAGGGCGGGAAGGAGTTCCAGAGGGTGGGGGCAGAGGGGTAGAAGGCATGCCTGCCAATAATGGGGCGAGCGAGGCGGGGGACTTGAAGCGGGCACAGTGAGCGGAGGGAGCAAGCAGGATGGTAGGAGGTTGGGGGATCGCAGAGGTAGGGGAGAGCAAGACCGTGGAGGGCTTTGAAGGTGAGGACCAGGATCTTGAACTGTATCCTCTATGTGATGGGAAGCCAGTGGAGTCGGGCAAGGATGGGTGTGTTAGGGTCAAGGAGCCTAGTGCAGAGAGCAACCAGCGCCTTGGGACGTCCTCCCGATGTGAAAGGTGCTTTATAAATGTAATTTTGTTGTTGATGAGAGGACACAGGCTGCAGAGTTCTGGATTATCTGCAGCCTGTGGAGGGAGGAGTTGGGGAGGCCGACAAGCAATTAATTTGCACAGTCAAGCCTCAATGTAGTGAAAACCTGTATGAGGGTTTCAGCTGGCTATGGTGTGAGACAGTGGCGGAGCTGGGCGATGTTGCGGAGGTGGGGAAAGGCAGAGCGGGTCATGGCGCAAATTTGGGGTAGAAAGGGTAATCGAGGGTCAAATAAGATGCCAAGGTTCTGGATTGGCTTAGCAAGGTGGAGTATGCATCCATGGATGCTGATGCTGTCAGCGCCTGAGGTGAGAAGGCACTAACGGGAGCCAATCAGGAGAGCCTCAGTCTTGTTAATATTCAACTGAAGAAGCTTAGCTCTCATCCAGGACTTGATGTCTGACAGACATTCTGTCAAGACAGCAATGGGTCTTGGAATCAAGGCTGGAGGCAGAGAGGTAGAGTTGGGTGTCATCCGCATACATGTGGAAATTGTCCCCATGTCTGCAGATGATGTCACCAAGAGGAAGCATATAGATATTGAAGAGGAGGGGACCAAGGACAGAGCCCTGAGGAACATCACACAAGACGGTGCGGGGCTAGAGGAGAAGCCGTTTATGGAGATGAAGTGGAGACGGTGAGAGAGGTACGACCTGAACCAATCAAGGACAGAGTGTGAAGATTTAATTGAGAGAGGCGGTGGATGAGGATAGAGTGGTCGACGGTGTCGAAGGCAGCAGAGAGGTCAAGGAGGACGAGGAGGCAGAAGGAGCCCTGGTCGCAGATGGACAGAATGTCATTTGTCACAAACAGAAAGTGGCCAGTTTATGGTTCGTCTGATTTCATTTAGGAACCTAGGAAAATAGGAACCGGAGACCATTCAGCCCACCAAGCCTGTTCCATCGGTTTATTAGATCTTGACAGATCTTGTTAATCCCAGTGCCCCACTCTTTCACCATAATCTACTCCCCAAGTATCTGTTCTTCCATTCTTTATCTCTCTGTGACAGAGCATTCCACAAGTTCACAACCCTCAAGTGTGAAGAAATGCTTCCTGACATCACTTCTGACTGCCTTGGTCATGATTTTAAGGTTATATCCTTTTTGAATAGATCCCTCTCCCAAATGGAAGAGTTGTCCATTATCTAACCTGTCAGTTCCTTCCAACGTTTTCACTTGTTTTAAGGTGTCAGCTTGGCTCAGTGGTAGCACTCCGAGTCAGAAGGGTATTAGTTCAAGTCCCACATCAGGACTTTGAACTCACAGTCTTGGCCAACACTCCAAAGCAATGTTGGGGGAGCACTTCATAGTTAGAGTTGCCATCCTTTGGATGACATGTTAAACCGAGGTCCCATTTTGAAAGAAATGGGAGTTTTTTTTCAATGACCTTGCCAACAATTCCCCAAATAAAATTGGTCATTCACTTCACAAACACCGGTTTTTAAATGCTCTGAGACGCTACCCTACGTGGAGGGCGCCATATAAGTGCAAGCTGTTCTTGTTTTTAGGATAATGCTGTGCACAAATTGCCTGCCTTAAAATACACAGCCATTACATTTGACAGTCTCACCAACCTGGTCTAACGTCCTCCACCATTAGTTAAGCAGAATAGTTAAACAGGGCAAGACGTTAGGCAAGTATCCTTATTCCGCACACCTGTTTACCTAGCAGTAAGTAGGAACCTGGTTGTTAGTCGATTGGCGGATCGCTTTTCCAGGGGCAATATCAACATTTTTAAAAAAATAATAATTTGGTCACTCAATCCACGATTGTTTGTGGACACCGCTGTGCGCAATTGGCTGCCGCATTTCACCCACAAAATATATTCAATTCATTTTACAGTATTTTCTGTGACATGCTTTGAGATGTCTCGAAGATGTGATAAGGCGCTATATCAAATGCAAGGATTATTATTATTGCTCCAGGGAGAGTACCCATTTCATCCCAGGCACAAGTAAAGTTCCAGATGTTGGTGGCATACATGGAACTCTCAGTCTGGTTTGGATACTCTCAAAGATAATGAGGGTTTCCACATGTGTCAGAAACCCAGCTGACCAAATAAAAAACTGCTATTGTTTTGCCCACCAGCTTAATCCATTGCAGTTTTCACCTGTCTTACTTATAACACAACACTTGCTTTGCATTATCCACAAACTTAGCCAAACCATGGATAGCTATGGCTCAAACCCTATTTGAAGCTAAAAGACAAAAATACTCAATCATCATCTTACATTCATTCCTGGATTTGCATTGAATGTGAAACACACCAAACGTTAAAATAAATATTTCAGTGAGCAAGTAGTGAACTTATGGAACAGGCTCTCTAGGGAGACAGAGGAAGCAAGAAATTTTGTTTGTTTCAAAAACAAATTAGATTTCTGCTAGAAAATAATATCTTGGCATGCAGTATATAGTTTCAGACACGACCTGTCAAGTGACTACCAGGATGGTGGAAGGCAAACTAGATGGACTTTGGTATTCTTTCGCCTAGCAAATTCTTATGTTACCCTTTAAGTGCCGTGGGGCCCTCTGAAGTAATGACCTGCCAAACTGAGACTTTGTGATGCAGAACTTTGTGATTGCCTAATCAGACAATTGTTCCAATCTATTCCTACCAAATAGATGGCAAACGTATTATAAGAACTTTTCCCATAGGAAACTGAGATTACCTCCTTACCCTGTGTCTAACTGAGCGATGCAAAAGGGAGTAATTCTTCTCCGTCCATCAGCTGTCCTGGTCTCAATCTGTTTCTTCAGCAAATTCTGAAAAGGAAAGAAATGGAAATGTGACTGCCATTACGTAGCAGGGCATTTGCTTTCCACTGATAAACACCCTCCCCCACCATAATGTAGTCAAGAGTCCCTCTTTCTCTCAACTGTTTTTCTAAAGACTCTCAAATTAATTCAGATTTCTGCTTTATCTCAGGCCATAGAAAACATTGGGCTTCATTCAAGTGTCTGAATCCTTGGGAACTAATTCCTGAAGTTTATGGGAGTGAACTACATCTCGGAGTACTCCTCGGGCCTCAGTATTTAGCTACCTGTTCAATTGCACTTACTGTTGATATTGGCATCTTTCAGGAAATGTCAAATAAAACAATAAGTGTCTAGCTGCAGCCAGTACAGCAAACCCTCCACAGCAGAGCTGCAAGAAGTTGCTCAAGTACTAAACAAGCGAGAATCCAGTGGAAAGCAAGAGCTGGATTCACAGTCGCAGTATAAGACAGTTAAGTTCACAGATGACACAATGTTGGGGGAATTAGAATCAGAGGAGGTAACATACGTCTTACAGAGAAAGCTTGATACGGATGTACATGGGCTGAAAACTAGCAAATAAAGTTTAATGCAAACTAATTGTGGAGTCCTGTAGCTCCGTGGTTAGAGCACTCGCTTTGCAAGCGAGAGACCTGAGTTCAATTCCAGGCAGAGGGCGAAACCTCGGGCAAGTTTCCTTACTCCACACAGAGCCTAATAATAATCCCTCCAAAAACCCAAAACAATAATAAATTGGTCATTTTCAATCTACGACTGTTTGTGGGACATTGCTGTGCGCAATTGGCTGCCGCGTTTGCCCACAAATATACAGTCAATTCACTTTACAGTATATTCTGTGAAGCGCTTTGGGACATCCTCCCGACGTGAAAAGCGCTATATCAAATGCAAGGATTATTATTAATCCAGGTACTACATATGGGAAGTAAGAAAAACAGATATATTCCATGGATGGATAGAGTTTGGAAAGGGGGAAGCTGAAAGAGATATAGGAGTGTTAGATCATCACTCACTGTAGTCAAAGTAGTGTAAACTGAGCTATTGCAAAATCAATTGAATTAATATCCTCAGGTGTCAATCAAATTGTATTATTCTCTGGTCAGGCTGCACCTAGTCAGGGTGCACCTGCATACAGTTCAAGTCACTGTACTATAATGTCCTGGATGCAGTGTGGAGGATGATCCCCAGTGTCGAGGAATGAGCTATGAGCAATGGTTAGGGCTCTTCAGTCTTGAGAGAGGGATAAACCCTCTGTATACTTTGTACAGTTGTTCTGCGTAAACTTTTAAATGGGATTGAAAAAATAAAGTCTGGACAATATTTTAGAATGCACCAATACAGTAGAACATAGATTTAGAGTTGCAAAGGGCAATTTTAGCAAATACCAGGATATTTTTCTTTACCCAGAAGGTAATTAACTATTGGAACAGGAAAGGTGGCTGAGGCCAGGACAATGGACTCATTTAAAAAGTACTTGATGCTGTGGTGGGAGGTCGGTGGAGTGGGTATTCGGGAACGACGAGATAAGATTGGCCAAACTTCTTCACCCAAACTAACCTTGTTACCTTATCCAACTCTGAACTACTATTGAAAGACTTCATGTGATTCTCTTCAATTTGCCCATAGAACAGTTCAAGGCATATAACACATGTGCAATGCATGCACAACACAAAGCAACCTAATTTAATACAAATGGCCTGCTCATTGTAAAGGCAAATTTCATCATGTTATCTATCAGTAACAAGAATAGCTGTGCTGAAGACAGACGAACACAGGACAAAGCTGAAGACTGCTTGGGACAGATATTGTTAATGTCTAAGTAAAGGAAGTCAATCTACAGTATTTCAGATACACTAGAGAACCAGATAAATGTCTAAAAAGTAAAGTCTAGGGGTCTGGGGAAAGGTCAGATAAATAGGATTGAAAGGATTGTTTTTAAAAGATCCAGCACAGACATGAGAGGCTAAATGGCCTTCTTCTGCGCTGTAAAATTCCTAAAATTTCTGTGGTACACAAAGGCACTTTACAAAACTGCAAAACAAAACATTTGATATTTCCATTGATATCAGTGGCTTTTCCTAATAATGTACAGAGATCAAAGTGAGAATCAGTGGTATTTTTGTGAAAATTTCAATAAACTCCATGGAAACCAGTAGTTTACATAAAAAGCACCTGTAAAGCAAATAACATCTGACACCTTCCCCGAAGAAGGTTTTGTAATGTTGAGGACAATGACAGTGGTTTTGCTTTTGCTTTTACTTTTTGCTTTTACAGTCAATTTTAAATGACACATAATTACACAGAAATCCAATCCCACCCTTTCCCTTGTGTGTAGCATCTCATCCTTTACCTTCCGAATGTCCTCAAAACTCTCGCCATTGACCATGTTTGTCATTTTGGGGGCTGCCATCTGCCTGGAAGCCAAGGCATTCTTTTGTTCCAGCAGCTCTTTCTGCTGCTGTTGGTACTTCAGCATCTCTGGGTTCTCAATAATGGTGGTGGAAAGCTGCTGCTCTGTTGTAATGGCCAAACTCTTGCCGTAGGTCTTCTGGTGAATCATGTTCTTCAAGACAAAGCAAAGACAAAAAGAGACTTCAACCTCCAACCACCAGTCAGCAACATACATACTAATACACTGAAGTATAATAGTGAGAACATACCATGGGCTCCTCTATCCACCGAGGTCTTAAAAGTTCTGCTTCACAAATGTTTGACTCTTTTGATTACTTAAGCACTTTGAGATGTCTCAAAGACGTGATAAGACGTTATATGCAAGAATTATTATTATTGTAACTGGATTTGCCTTTTGTCCTTATGAATAATCTTTGCATTTACATTTGATATTTTATACAGCGTTCTCCATAAAGGATCTGAACCTCAATTAAAGTAGCCCCACATCCTATCATGATACAGTTCACCAATCGTGGGATGCTCCTTCTAAAACACCATCTTGGAACCAACCACAGCTGAACATGAGACTGGTATAAAACTCTCAATACCAGAGCTCAGATAGAAATTTAAGAATGGTCTTCTTGGATTACTTCAATAATTATTCAGCTCATTCAGATGCTAAGAGAGCCCATTATAGTGAAACCCATAACAACGTCCTGTCAAAAGACATGATGACAATTTCACTGCACTAACAAAACTCATTCATGACTGGTACTGCGGCCCCCACCACTTCAGTAAGCTTTGTTTGATGCCCATTTAAGCTTTGTTGTCAGACCAGTTTTAGGACAGTTTTGAGCACATTGAACAATGAAGCTGCAGAGCAATTGAGCTGATAACAATAATAATCCTTGCATTTGTTTTAGCGCCTTATCACGTCTTCGAGACATCTCAAAGCACTTCAGAGAATATACTGTAAAGTGAATTGACTGTATATTTTGTGGGCGAAATGCGGCAGCCAATTGTGCACAGTAGTGTCACACAAACAGTCGTGGATTGAGTGACCAATTTTTTTAAAAAAAGATTTATTGTCCCTGGAAAAGTGATCCGCCAATTGACTAACAACCAGGTTCCTACTTACTGCAAGACAAAAAGACCTTGTGGAGCAAGGAAACTTGCCCAATGTTTTGCCCTGCCCGGGAATCAAACCCAGGTCTCTCGCTTGCGAGGCGAGTGCTCTCACCACTGAGCTACAAGACTGATCACAATTGTGTGGTTGCTACCTTTTCTTCCTCAGTGAGTGGATCACCAAGCTCTTCCTGTGAGAAGTCCAGAAACGCCACTGTGCCATCCATGGAGCACACCAACATCCCCAGTCCAGTCAGCGTCCTGCAGCAGCCATAACAAATACATCATTAACAAGGGACACCTTGTAGGTCCAGCACTTGGCTGTGAGGCTGTAAGTGGGCCTGATCAGTGCAAACTAATCTAACAAATGAGTTCCCAATAAGCCCGAGGCCAAATATAGGAACAATCTGCCTTTTCCATTTCACGTGGACCCATACTTTTCCCCAGTTATTAATACAGAATTTCAAGACACAATTACAATGTAATATACTCTGAGACATGTATAAAAATAGTGATTGGAACAGGAGTGAAAGAAAAGCTAGGCAGAGAGGATGGAACATTCTCTCTCAGGAAGTCCACAGCCCAGTCCAGAGAATGAGACGAGCCGTTAAACAGAAACAAATGCCTCCAAATAACCAAGCCCAACCCATACCCCCCCACCCACCCCCACCCTTCTGCCACCATCATTCCAGCTCCATCTCACAGCTGCCTGCTTTCTTTGCCATCTCAACACATCCTGTCATCCTTCCAGCTCAGCTGGGGCACCAGCAACCAGCAAGCTCCACACATTACTTGGTTCCTTCCACTGGGAAGATCAAAACAAAAACATCACAAGCTCGAGGTGCATTGCAGATCATCTTACCAGGAAATATCCATAATTGACTTGTCAAATAATTCATGAATCACCACCAGGGGTCGCTTCAAGCATGTTAGCTGTGGAAAAAGAGATTGGTCACGAATTAAACTGAACAAAACCTCGACAAGAACAAACACATTCCAAAGAAAACAAGTGCCAGCGAGTCCTGCTTTGAATGACCTTAACTCTATCTGGGTAAAGAAACTGCCATAAACAAATATTGTTTTTTTTTGCAAATCTCTGTTTGTGCTTCAGTTGAAAAACTAACATTCATCACTTTTGAAAGGTCTCTAACATACTTGTATAGGGCTGCTCTTGTGAACGAGCGAATAGCAAACTTTATCCCAATATTTAAATGACTGAATTAGGGACTGTGCACTAATAAGTCAAAAGTAGAAAGTGAGTGCTTATCTAAAGAGTACAGATGATGAAAGCATGTATTTAGCAAGTCATATCTAGTGGAATTGTGTTTATGTAGGTGACTGAACTGGAGAACAAGGGCACTGCAAAGAATAGAATTTACTTAGGAACTTCAAAGGGATTTGATAAAGTTCCATAAGGGTATTTTGTCTTTCAAAGAGAGACAATTGAAATTATGGAATTGATGAACATCCAGCATGATGGAACAATATCAGATCTGTCACAGAAAGCAGAGGTGGTGATAAATGGCAAAGCGTCTGTCTTTTGTTCAAAGTCTGTGACGATGTCACCTTGGTGTCCTCTTGCCTTCATTTTAACCAGAGTCATTCACATTCAGACACGTGCCGGTTTATAAGGAAGCTTTTTCAAATGCAGTATTTCAAGACAAGAGGCAAGATACATAACATTCATCTTGTTTGAACTGGAGAGTAACCACACACAAAATATAAATCTGTTTATATTTTGATAAGTTAGGAAGTTTAATTTAGTTGATGCAAAATTATTTGTCATATTCCTATAATGTTTGGAGTCCTGTAGCTCAGTGGTTAGAGCACTCGCCTTGCAAGCGAGAGACCTCGGTTCGATTCCCGGCAGAGCGAAACTGTGGTTAAATTTCCTTATTCCACATGCCTGATAATAATCCCTCAAGAAAAAAAAATGATAAAATTGGTCACTTCAATCCACGACTGTTTGTGGGACGCTGCTGTGCGCAATTGGCTGCCGCATTTCACCCACGAATATACAATCAATTCACTTTATGGTATATTCTGTGAAGCGCTTTGAGCTAGAAGACATGAAAAGTGCTATATCAAATGCAAGGATTATTATATATAAAAAATACAATCTCAAGAGAGGGTTAGATGGAGAAAGTCCTTCAACACATTCCAGGATACCAACACCACTGTCTTGCCATTGTAGCATTAAGCTGTCTCTTATATACATCCAGTAACCTTTGCCTCAACCACAATTCCTGGAAACATATTTGAGCTTTTGCTTATTTTCTCTAAAGAAATATTTCCTGGAGTCAGTTCAAAAATTGCCCTTCACAACCTTCACACCTGGGACTTCTAACTATGCAGTATATCTGCCATCATATTTCATTTCCTCGCTGCAATATTTATTTGCATTGAATTTAGTCAGTGATAAGACAGGGCACAATCTTGTCCAGCTCTTTTTATAAGATTTTTGATATCTTCTGATTCAAAAGTCTCCTCCTCCCAATTTGAAGTCACTTACCAATTTATCTACCCTGTTCTGGGGCTGCAAATTCAAGCTACTTATGTATACCAGGAAGAGTGCCAACAAGGACCTTTGAGGCACCCCACTCAACAACTCCATCCATTTTCAAAGTAGCTCTTCTCACCACTGATCCACCACCATCATGGACTTTATTTTGAGGAGATGCCATGAGTTTGGTAGCTGTTATTTATTATTTTCATACAGTAAGTGAAAATTTAGCAAACATTTTTCGGTCACTGTACAGTATACACTGTGAACATGTCCTCCCAAATTGGAAGCCGCTTGACCAAATTATACCAAGGATTATTATTATTATAGAAATTTTGGAAAAACAATTTGCATTTATATAGTTCTTGACTCGTGGTAGCGTCCTGGATCTCTTGAACGCCAAAGCAGATGTATAGCACACTGGAGACGGGCAGATTAGCACACTTTCAAAGTAGTTCAAAGAGCTACAGGACTTGTGGAGTCCTGTAGCTCAGTGGTTAGAACACTCGCCTCGCAAGTGAAAGACCTGGGTTCGATTCCTGGCAGAGCAAAACCTTGGGCAAGTTTCCTTACTCCACACGTCTGATGATAATTCCTCAAGAAAAAAAAACAATAAATTGGTCACTTCAATCCACGATTGTTTGTGGGACGCTGCTGTGCACAATTGGCTGCCGCGTTTCGCCCACAAATATATGGTCAATTCACTTTATAGTATATTCTTTGAAGTGCTTTGAGACGTCTGGCAGACGTGAAAAGCGCTATATCAAATGCAAGGATTATTATTATTAGGTAAGAGATCATTCAGTGCATGAAATACAAGCATATACAATAGGCTTGGCCCTTTATAAACATCCAGACTTACCCACACTGAGAGTGACCGGTCCTTGCTACCCACTGCACAGCAGCAATACGGGCAGCTTGGCTTGTTGGAGCTTCCATTCCGCGGCTTTTTCTTGAAGATCTTGGGGTTAAATTTCTGCCAGCACGAAACAAAAAGAAAAATTCAGTCTTTACATCAGAGATGATGGGATTACATCACCTCCAGCATAAGTGCAACCTATTGCGGAGGTCAGGTGACGGGTCCTCCTATCAGCATGGTGCTCTTTCCAAAGACATGGTACAACCCTCTGGGACACGCCTCAGCTAGCATTGCATTTCACTCGGGTAGTCACTAGCTGAAAGGATTAAAACTTTATATTCATATTCACGCAGTGGCACAATTTAAACATAAGCCGATACGGATGATTTCTCAACACCTTCCACACCTTCAAGAATCCACTTATGCCTCACCATACACTAAAAAAAACAATCTGAGCACAATAAAATGATTCAATAAAATGGATCATTTCTGTCAGGCTAAATTGTAACAGATACAGGAAAGATGCACATCAGTTTTCTCACTGAAGACTGAATACAAAGGCTTTCAATGGGTTTGAATTCACAATTTATCCCTATCAATTCCATTAACAACAACAACAACAACAACAAGATTCCATTTATAGAGCGCCTTTCACGTCAGGAGGACGTGAACCCCTTTCATCCTCTCACCAGTTCACCAGGACTCAGCCGTCTATCTATTGTTAAAGGGGGCTAACCTTTTCACCATTCTCATTCTATTTATAATGAGTGACTAGACATCCTATACGTAGATCATGATCCATCCACTCTCTGTTGTCAAATCCTGGAGAACTGACGAACATGAAAGGAAACAGTGCATCAGTCTGTACCTTGGACTTTTTGGACATCTTCAAGAATGCTAAAGACAGGAATCTCTCCCCAAGCAAAATTAATAATTAAAACTATGTAAGAATGTAAAGATTACCATTTGTCTTAGGGCAGCTGGAAATATTCAGATGACTACAGTTTAAAAAAAAGCAAAGAAGGAAAATAATATTCCTTGCATCTGATATAGCTCTTTTAACATCGACTCAAAGCACTTCACAGGATTTTACTTTGTAGGCGAACACAACAGTCAATTTACACAGCAATGTCCCACAAGCAGCCAGAAAGTGGTTGACCAGTTTTATCTGGAGGGTTGTTGGCCAGAACAATATTACACTGCAAAGAACATTACTTGAACATCAAAGGAGTCAAAAAGTGATCAGTACACAGCACTAAAAATCAAACATACCATCTCTCAACCCATACTGTCAGATTCAGCCAATGCTGGACTCTTATGCCTTTCAGAACAATTATTATTTGCATGTGAAGACGCAGTATTATCTGTAACAGACTCTCCGAGACTCCCCTTTCTTACATTGTTTCTCAATGACATTGTGTGGCATATCTCAGAGTTCAAGAGTCAAGTTAATCCATTGTTTACTCTTCCTGAGTTGAGGCGATTTGTAAATTATTTGAATGAAACACCAGCAGAACAGCCTGGCAATAGAGACCCTTCACTACAATTGAAACAACTTATAGACCAAGGGTATCCAGCCAGGTAAACTGGCAAATACATCTGATTTTACCTAACACAACCCTCAATAAATTACTCTTAAAGCAAGACATTGACAAGCTTCTCCTTTTTTCATTATTAAGTAGACTAAGTGATCATTAGTGTGCAAAAGCCTGTCCAATAGCCAACTATAATCCAGAAAACTGCAAACTACAACTCTTTTCCCCGCCAAGACCTCAGAGTCTCTGTTTCTCCGAAAGAAACTTTATCTAGCAATCAACTAACCTCTACTTTTTAATTGATCTCTTCCTCACTCCTATTCTTTTCAAACGTGCAATATAGAGTTGCCCATTCACCTAGGTTCCTCAATTTAATAAATGTAATAAAAGAGTTGGTCAGTGTTCAGTATTGAGATAGGATATCTGTCCAGGAACTGAATGTAAATGTGGAGGTGACCTTTGAAATCAACTGGAAACAGTTTGTTTCATCTCTTCCTGTGAATGGGAAGAACTAGGCTATTACACAGTTAACATCAGCTGTGTAATATTCTTCAGAAATAACTAAGACACAGATTTGTGTTCCCATTCAATGGCTCAGCAACATGTGAAACATGTGAAATATGCCTAAATAAAAGCAGATTTTACTGCTAGAGATCCTGTGCACCAAGAAATTAACAGTAAGTCCTTTGAAAACCAAATATCCATCAACAATGTGGATCAAGCCTGAAACAATCAAACCTTCTTTAAAGGCATGGTGCAGGACATTATTATGGAGTCAACTAGACGAAAAGATGAGATGGTCAGAAGTTCTAAACTGCTGCACTGTTTATTAACAAGATTTTTAAACATAATAAGGACTTCAGATTGACTCTGGTGAAGGGTATTGTCCGTTACAGGTCCAAAGGTTGCAGGTCCCAAACCCAGTGTTTCCAGACTTTGCTGATGTCTTTTGAAGTGTTACAATTAGCCTAAGTACCCTAGTTGAGGGTTGAGAGAATTCAAACCAATCAGAGTTCCTGCAACTGGTCACTATCCAGCAAGACTTGGATTTAGAGTGAAGAATAATAATAGCTGCCAACAATCACTGTCAACATTAATGGCTGGTGAACAAGGTACCTTTGAGATGGCAGAGGGCTGCCACTAACTTAGAACAATAATAATAATCCTCACATTTGTAAAGCGACTTTCATGTCAGGAGATGTCCCAAAGCACTTCACAGGATATACTATAAATGCAGTGACTTTTTTTGTGGATGAACTTGACATCCAATTGTACACAATAATATCCCACAAACAGTCATGAAGTGAATAACCACTTTAATTTGGGGCATTGTTGGCCAGGACATCGGGAAAAACTCCCTTCCCTTTTTAAATAGTCCCATGGATCTTTAACATCCACCTGAAGAGGTCAAACAGGGGCCTCAGTTTAATGTCTCATCCAAAGGATGGCATCTCCAACAATTCGGCACTGCAATGGAGTGTAACCTTCAGAGTATATGAATTCCAAGTCTGGACATGGAGCTTGAACCCACAACCTTCTTACTCAAGACATGAGAGTGCTACCAACTGAGCCAGGCTGACAATGCCCTAGCAAACACTGCATTTCCTGCAGGACTTAGAAGGTCAGAGCACCTACCACCACAGTCACAGCTTTCCGATGTCCAACAAAATCCATATTTGTTTTCCAACCATCGCGCTCAATTATTTGTGCCGTGGGGCCTGAATTGTTCATGGCGTGAGCAGACACGAGGTAATGGCCATCTGGGGACCAGCTTAACCGCAGCACATGTGTTGTTCCAGCACACTACAGAGAAACAGAAGTCATACATTCAGACAACCCAAGATCTGCTATCCACACCTGGAACAGCAGAGTGTGTGAAACTACTTTGTGTGTTGGTGTACAAGTTCTGGGTTTCAATGCACAACCTGCACTGGTTAATACGGGGCTTTGTTTAGTTGCATGGCCACATCAATCACACTGACGTGATCAATGACATGATTGCTGTGCTAATTCAGGCAGTTTGGTTTTTCGGCCACATATCTTTTCCTGAGCCTATGGCACTGAAATGCGAATGCACCAGGTTTTCCTTATATGCTCATTTTTACGGACCCATTTTGATGGACCATGTCTTCACTTCAACAACGGGGCAATCATTTATTCCAAACTATAAAACAAAATAATACAGCATTCAGACAACCCAAGATCTGCTATCTATACCTGGAACAGCAGAATGTGTGAAACCGCTTTGTGTGTTGCGTACAAAGTTTGGGTTTCAATGCACAACCTTCATTGCTTAATACAGGACTTTGTTTGGTTGCACAGTTAACATACACAGAATGACAATGGAAACCATGCAATATTCAAGCCTTCTTTGGATGCGTGTTCCCTAAAGAACATGCTACTCGTTACCACTGTCATTTCAATGCAAATATTGCTCTGGGAGCAGATGGAGAAAATTGCAGTCGCCTGCATGTGGTTGGGAACGTCACTTCAGGTACAGTAGCTGTTGACAAACCTGCACGACAATTTCCTGCAAAACCACAGATGGTCTTGATAACAGTTTCTTACAAGCATCCAAACAGTGGCGAAGATAGCAGCAAAAAGCTACTGAGCTCCAAGGCAATATTTCAAATGTTTGCTGAAAGCACCTACTTCGTCAAAAGGTTTGGTGATGTTGGTCTCTAGCTGCCAATCCAAGGTCCTCCATACTTTCAAGCTCCGGTCATCAGCCTGGGATGCGATATACTTTCCAACAGGATCCCAGGTGAGCCCCTTCACCAGTCCTGAATGTCCTCTTAGTGTTGCAATAATTTCTGCAAGAAAGAAAGTTGAAACATCATTAGCAATGGTGGCCCTTTAAACAATATGAGAACCTTGAGGATCACACTAAGCTACAGAATCATCAGTAAAGTTTAGAATTAACGTTCTGAGAATAAAAGGCCAAGTTCTAACCAGATTTGAGATGATAGTTATTTTACTGTGGCAAAACCAAATAATAGTAATAATCCTTGCATTTGTTATAGCACCTTATCACGTCTTCGAGACATCTCAAAGCGTTAACTGTAAATTTACTGTATGTATATTTTGTGAGGGAAATGTGGCAGCCAATTGTGAACAGCAGTGTCACACAAACAGTCGTGGACTGAATGACCAAATTATTATTATTATTTTATTAAAGGGATTATTGCAGAATCCTGTTGAAACGATTCTCCTTCATACTAGTTTTAATCCAGCTGCACTGTAACATCAATCCAGTGGCATTTCCAATCTCACCTGGGAACTTTAGAGCATTCCAAATAACAATGGTGTTATCAATGCTGCAGGAGGAGAGCCAGGCATCGTGGGGTGACCAGGACAAGTCCATCACATCTACATCACAAACAGAAGCCTCGGTCAATGAGTTTCACATTGGGACAACTCCTAGATATGTGACATAAGAGGCAGCACAGCCAAGATATGGTGAAGTGAAAGGTCCAAATACTGCTATTAAATCTGAAGTCTGAATATAGGGTTTAAGAAGCATCAGCAGGGAATTTTTTTGAACTCCTTTCCCACACTAAGGAAGTAAAGGAACATCATCATACACTAAAATATGCACATTTCCTACAGGCTGAAAAGGTTTTACAAAAATAACTACATTTGTACTCTTTCAGCTCATTAAAGATGATTTTTTTCACTTGGATCCGCACCATCGTCTATTCCAGACTTGGAGCAGGAATTCCTCCTGTTCAGCTCCTATTAACCCTGCAAACCAAAGGCCTATTGGTTATGGTCTTAGCTGACGAGCAGCAGGAAACTTGCCAGACAATGTTCTCAATTGCAAGCTATGCGGTTTAACTGGTTGAACTCCAGCAGTAACGCAACCTGACGCTCATTCTGGGGACCCAAACCTTACCTCTTGCCAATTTGCACCCAATATTCTCCCGAATTAGTTAAACAGAGCGCCACTCCTCCAGAAAGAGAGTATGCATTCCATTCAAGACTCAGGGAAATGTCCACATATAGGTGGCGTACAAATTCGGAACTCTCAGTCTGGTCTGCATACTCTCAGCGTGGTGATGCAATTCCACATGTGTCAGACACCTTACATAAATGCAAGCAAGCAAATGGCTCACAGACTATTGTCTGTGCTCTTCAGGTACAACTGATTCCCAGGAAAATGAAAGTAATCCCATCTAGATTTAATTTTCCTTTAATCTTCCTTTCCTCCTTCCAGAAGTGTAGACTGATTTCATGGTGCAACAGATTTAAAAGAATAGAATTCAATACAAGCTCTTACCCCCCGTATGACTTCTAAGTATGGAAACACATCTCCATTGCTCCACATTGGCCAGTTTACTACTGGAGCCAAAAACACTGCTTGGTCCGATGTACCTGTCAAAAACAATCACACACTTACCACCACGAATAAGTTTACATTCGTAACTTAAGTCATTCACATTCTGATTTTTCTCAACGAAGCTGGAGTGATCCCAGACTAGGATGGGTTCACATTTGTTTTTGTTTACTAATCAGTAGCTGTACATTGGCAGAAAATCATCAGGCACGCTGACTGCAACTCAGCATGTTCTGTAACCAATAGTCTTGAGTTGCCAATGTTCATTTTGGCTTTCTCATTCATCAGTCAGGTCAGTAGATTCAGTACCACAGGGTAATACACCTCCACAAGTTCAGCTGTCTATCTAACACTAGCAGGATAAATGTACATTAAGGAATGCCTTAAGTTCAAGCATGATTATACTTTATCCTGTATTGGTGAATACATCAGCACAAACAGCAATACACAGTAATTTCAATCTATAGGATTTTGCTGTAAGTACAGAAGTACAGGATAATACCTCCAAAAGATATCCCTGTACCTTCTGCATTTGTTAAGCAGATCAACTGGTATTCCAAAATCATAACTGGTTTGGCTGAAAAAGTGCTTTATCCCAATTGATCTCTTGCATACTATCCTCTGGATGCCAGTGGAATTACATAAAATGATACGTCATGAAATCAGGTCATTCGGCCCAACTAGTTTGTGCTGATGTTTATACTCGACACGTACCTGCACGCCTCCTATGTCTCTCTCCTATATCCCTCTATTTCCTCACCCTCATCTTGCATCAAGTTTACTCTTAAATATGTTGGATGCTTTTTCCTTCAACTGCAACTTCCAGTTGTGAGTTCCATACACTCGCCACCCTCTGCGGGAAGTTCCTCCGAAGCTCCCGTTAAGATCGTGGAGTCCTGTAGCTCAGTGGTTAGAGCACTCGCTTTGCAAGCGAGAGATCAGAGTTCAATTCCAGGCAGAGGGCGAAACCTTGGGCAACTTTCCTTACTCCACACAGAGCCTAATAATAATCCCTCCAAAACCAATAATAAATTGGTCATTTTCAATCTACGACTGTTTGTGGAACATTGCTGTGCGCAATTGGCTGCCGCGTTCGCCCACAAATATACAGTCAATTCACTTTACAGTATATTCTGTGAAGCGCTTTGGGACGTCCTCCCGACGTGAAAAGCGCTATATCAAATGCAAGAATTATTATTATTATTATTATTGTTTTAATTTTGCAAACACGATAATAACCCATACTCCTAAATCTCAGTCTTTGCCTCAACACATTCTTATACACAATTTATTTTGTTAAACAAGTAGAAGCAGCCTGTTAGGATTGGGCGAGTGAAGCTCGGAGTGTTTGTCAGTTTGAGAGACTTACGCAGCTCTCTTCCAAAGCATGATCAGCTTGTCATCTCCGCCCGAAGCCAGGTACAGTCCGTTATTGGACCATCGCACACAGTTGACACAGGCTGCAGGAAACAAAGAAAAGAACACATTGTCCATGTGCAAGGACACATTGGACGCAAAATTAATTTAAACTACAAATAGAAGAGGTGTAATATATCGTCTAAAAATGTTTTAACTAGGTTATTTTTGAATGGGTTCATTCATTTAAATTGCCACATAGCCCTGAAGATTATAGCGAGATAAATCCAGACATTCTACATGTTACCTGTGAGGCAAGGCTTACTCCTGCAGAAACTCCTGCAGAAGCATCAGTCTCAGAGAAGGTGAGGTTCTCTTATGTCTAGGATCAGAGAGATGAAGAATCTCCCACATTTCTAACACCTTTAATTTGCTATAAAACTCATGAACTGAACAAATATGTGCTTACTGCACAAGTGAATATAACTTGGGTTTATGGGGAGACACCCACCTTAAAAAGACACTCCTGCATTAACAAAAACAGGCTGATCTTTAGACAGGATTAAGAGGAGGAATTTCTTTGCATCTGTTCCATCACGCTGTTGCTTTAATAAGCCCCCCTAGAGAGGAGTTACCCAAATAGTTTTAACTGCAGCAATAGCACTGCCTAGCTCTCATCTATAGCGGAAAGGTTATTTTGACAGTAATTTGGCTCTAATAGCAACTACCGCAAGTTGATACTTTCACACCTATCCTTTAAGGAACAATACTGACTGAATATAATTTCTAGATACAAGCTGATCCTGTTACAATGAGCCCATTTAGCATGGGGCATCTTATTGTGCAGATGTATTGTAGACTTGTTATACCAGAAGCTTAGCACGTTTCTATGGCTGACAGGCTGGCTACATGTGCGTAGCACACTGGAAGTGACATCGGCAGCGATCTGATAACCTGGAAGCACTAATCAGTGGCGTTTTTTAAAAACGTGCCTTGGTATAACATGGGGTTCATGGACCTCAAATCCCCATGTTATAACAGAAGTCAGCTAGATTACACAAAATAGTGAGAGGGTCATTTAGTGGGTTGTAGGATCTTTAAGGCAGTCGGCAGTAATTTTCCTGAGCAACTTAGTGATTTTACATCTGTGTTCAGGTTTTCACATACCCAGGTGGTTATCCATTTGGCAAAGCATTTTGGGGATATTCTCATTTTTCTCGTCCTCTTCCCGCACAACTGGTGGCATGTTCCAAATAACAACCTTCCCTGAATCCTCGCCTGTGTATGGAAATTAAACACAAAGCAAAGTAAGAAAAGCAATCCAAATCATTATCCAACAGTCAATCAGTTCTGTTGGGAGAGAGCCAGAGGGAATGTGAGAGGTGGAAACAAACTGTACGTCCAGCACATCCGCAAAGCAAGAAGGTTCACAAAAAACATACTATCTTCAAGGTTAAATGGTAAGGATGACTTTCATTGAGCTAGCTAGAGAGCATCAGTGACCTTGCAATGCCAGATGGATTTTGCAGCATTGACTAACCTTACCAGACAAAACAATGAGAGTCATGACTCAATACATTATGGACCTCCGATCTCAAGGGCCGTTTTGTCAAGCTCCAAGAAAGTTAGTCCCTCTACTCTGCACAACAGGACTGCGGTATGGGCTATCTACTTCATCAAGCGCCTTGTGACATCCCCTGGACATGAAAGGCGCTATACAAAAGTAATTTTGTACTGTACTGTTTGTATCAATAGTGTACGATCATTACTAATTATTTTGCTGAACAGTGTAACAACCAATGTTAACAAATCTCCTGCACTTCCATAGGGATGGGGAGGTGAAGCAGCCTTGACGTGGGAGATTCCAGGGCTACAATTCCTTACGCAGATTGTAAGCAGCTCGCAGTCCTGCTCTTACCTTGTCCACCTGTTGCAAACTTTGTTCCATCGGGATGGATGTCCACAGAAAATATTGGCTTACCTGCGAAAGAAAACTCCATTTACTAAATGAGAAGGGAATATGATCAGCATTATGTACTTATCAGTCCTAGTACAAGAAACTGAAAGGCAGCATTTGTTCCTAGCAGCAAATCATTTATACAAGTACTATTTTGAAGGATGCGACCAAGATATTACCTTACCAAGAACTAGGACAGAGCAAAGGATGAATTTATATCTTTCCTAAGAAGCTCATGTTTCCGACAAACAAAGTGGCAAATCAACAACAAAAACAAATTACACTTATATGAAGCCTTTCACGTCAGAATGTCCCAAGGCGCTGGAAGTAACCAAATAGGACTGTGCTGTGGCACACATTAAGGCACACCTGCCTTAATGCAAAGTACAAACAGAGAGATGGTTCAATCAGAAAGGAGGAGATCCAGGAGCAGTATCTGCTATCCACCAAGCAAGGGTCAAACTTGCACTCGTCAGACATCTAATACAACAACAATTCAGAGTCCTGTAGCTCAGTGGTTAGAGCACTCGCTTTGCAAGTGAGAGAACCTGAGTTCAATTCCAGGCAGAGGGCGAAACCTTGGGCAAGTTTCCTTACTCCACACAGAGCCTAATAATAATCCCTCCAAAACCAAAAACAATAATAAATTGGTCATTTTCAGTCTACGACTGTGTGTGGGACATTGCTGTGCGCAATTGGCTGCCGCGTTCGCCCACAAATATACAATCAATTCACTTTACAGTGTGTTCTGTGAAGCGCTTTGGGACGTCCTCCCGACGTGAAAAGCGCTATATCAAATGCAAGGATTATTATTATTATTATTATGTAGGTCCACAGTACTATCCAGCCTGGTTCATCAGCTGGAAAGGGAGAAACAAACCAGTCATTGGGAGTTGGGATTCTCCTCTCTCTCGTTAACCCTGCAAGCCTAAGCGCTAATTGGTAGGGATGTTTCAACTAGACAAGCAGTGGAAAGGATTGCCAGCCATTGATTACAATAGCAAGCCGTGCAGTTTTATCTGGTTAAACTCCAGCAGTTCCCTATTACACAGTCCGACATTTCCAAGCCTTGGCCTAAGCCAACCTGCACTTGGTCGAGCAGGGAGAGTGTGCACTTCATTCAAAATATATGAATCTCTGTAGATTTCAGCTTGTAGCAGACACTCGATGACCAAGAGACAGAGAGTGATGTCCCCAGATTGATGGAGCTGGAAGGCTTTATCAAGTCCTACAGAGACAGTGGACTGGATTAATATTCATGATTTGACTGTGAGGTGTGTTGCCAGCTCTCACAATCAAATACCTGTTAACACCCCACTGTCTGATCTCATACATTAAGAACATCCACTTGCGCAAGGGTTAAGTATCAGAAACCAGTCAACACTTGTAGCAATGCACCTCATCATAAGTAAGTGCCTTTCGAAGAGAAGAGATAATAAGCAAAGTAGCCCTTGAAAGTAAGGGATTAATAACCACTGCTCAGATCTTTTCCTTCATACTTTCAATGCTACTTTTTAGCTTCCCAGTTTAATCAGTCCAACTGTACATTTCTATATATTGGCCAGGACTCCATTTGACTCAAGGTAACGTTTCAAAATTAACACAACAAACGTGTGGGTGTTGTACATTATATCAGAAAAAAAAGAATAAATAGGAACAGGAGTAGGCCATTCAACCCCTTGAGCCTGTTCCACCGTTCTATCACATCATGGCTGCTCTGAAATGAAAATACGGCTAAAATGAAAACAAAAAAAAGCAAAATTCTGGCTCAGATTTCTAGTGTAAGCACAACATTCACTCTGCTTTTTCCCCACTGTAAAGTAAACTCATGCTGCATCCTGTGGAATTTTCAAACTACAGTTACTACCGAAGCAGTTTTTTTCCCCCCAAATTCCGAAATAACTGTTCAATATGTGCTTTTCCTCCATTCTGCATTCTTACTGTGTTGAAATCAAAAAACTTTAGGAACNTTTTTTTCCAGACCCTCAAGTCAGTGGAACTCCCTTAGTCTTGCCTTTCTCCTGCAATCATTTGTTTTTATAACCCAAGGTAGCTGACATCTAATCACTATTTGCTCACATATCTCACCCTTCTGCCTTATTCTTTGCAACCTTGATGATGTCCTGCACTATGGGCCTTCACTGTAATAATAATCATTGCATTTGATATAGCGCCTTATCACGTGTTTGAGACGTCGCAAAGCACTTCACAGAATATACTATAAAGTGTAGTGACCATATATTTTTATTCACATAGATTCCTGAATATATAATACGTATATATGGTATATATAGTCCACACTTTTGTACAGGTTAAAACTGAACGAGAGGATGCAAACTTCTCCCACGGTGGGGTTTAACGTGGAGACAATGGGGGCCGGGAAGAAGGACTCAGCCACTATCTGGGGCGTGGGTGGCCAGGAACAGTTACGAGCTTGTTGGAAGGATTACTTGGAAGGCAAAGACGGTCTGATCTTCGTGGTGGACAGTTCAGATCGGACACGCCTGGGGGTTGCTCGAAAGGAGCTCAGGCGCGTCCTGAACCACACGCACCTGACCGGCGTCCCCTTCCTGGTGATTGCCAACAAGCAGGACCTGCTCCAGGCCGTGGCGGTGCAGGAGATCGTGGACACACTGAGGCTGAAGCGCTGGCACAACAGGAATGGGACATCAGAGCTTGCAGTGCTCACACCGGGGAGGGGGTCGCACAAACCAGGCAAGCTGTAGCTGCGCTTGTTAGGAGAGTATGACTAAAGAAAAGGGGCCTCGGTTCTCCCAGTCTCGTAGGGACCGAACACAAGAGAGGCACCGGCAGGGGCTGACTGGCCATCTGGGAATGGGTCACGATCTGCATCTGAAATATGCCCGTGTCCACCCACTGCCACTCACACACTACACCGGCAATGCTGCACTCAGGAGTGAGTGGCGTTCAGCACATCGAGACTCTTGTTATTCAAGACTGTCGTTTCCTGCAATACTGGACAATCATTTCAATCGTTGCTCTTTTTTTCTCTCTCTCTCTCTCTCTTCTGCTTCACTGAAATGCTTCCCATACAATACCAGACTTGACAGAAAATGCAAAAGGTTTAAGATTAGTTTGGACAAAAGTTCACCTCCGGAGTCCTGTAGCTCAGTGGTTAGAGCACTCGCTTTGCAAGTGAGAGACCTGAGTTCAATTCCAGGCAGAGGGCGAAAACTTGGGCAAGTTTCCTTACTCCACACAGAGCCTAATAATAATCCCTCCAAAACCAAAAACAATAATAAATTGGTCATTTTCAATTTACGACTGTTTGTGGGACATTGCTGTGCGCAATTGGCCCCCGCGTTCGCCCACAAACATAGTCAATTCAGTTTACAGTGTGTTCTGTGAAGCACTTTGGGACGTCCTCCCGATGTGAAAAGCGCTATATCAAATGCAAGGATTATTATTATTATTATTATATAGACTAGCGACTACATCCTCTTCCCTACAAATTGCCTGTCAATATACGAACACGGTAACTTGCACGCACAGTCAATCATAAATATTAATTAAAAAAACTCACACAATGAGGAAGGCCAACCTGGATATACAAAGATGTACGCACAAATTAAGTCACTGGATCTCAGCAAACTTTACCCTTTTTAGCAAGTGCTCTTGCTAGAAGGGTAAAGAACAGCCAATAAAAAAAGTTCTTCTCGCCAATTTTCTCCCATCCTTCTTCACTGGAAAGCATTCTGAACTCCTTTCCTTACACTGAGCAGAGACACGTGTCCATTTACTCCATATCACAGCAGAGTTTGGAGCTCAACTGAACTGTTACTGCCCCATTCTTCTGTCTCAGGAAATTAACTACAGTCTTGTTTCACAAGACATCGTCTTGTGAAACAACATCACAATTAAACACACCCTCAAATTTGCCGGAGAAGCAAATAATAAATTCCTGAGAGCAGAAAATGTCCATTTGTAAACACAAACAGGCAGTGTTTGTGCGCCACATATTTTAAATCAAATTTTTTGCAAAACAGAAGTGCAGAGTTGTATGCAAGTTTAATTTCCCTTATGTGCTTTATTCACTGCTGCAGACTTGCACACCTAAACACACTACTTTGAACTGTACACATATCCTCACAGTGCTGACATTTCTTTATAGCAATTTCAGCGCAACTGTGTTTTTCTCGAGACACTAAATATGTAGATGTCAAAATGTGTCAAGGGGCCTCACACAATGTGGTGGCAGGCACTGGTGGCACACTATGGACCACACTGTAAATCCGTAAGGCGCTTCCGAAGCTACCCACTGGCTCACCAATGCGGACTTGGTTATTTGAATATTGCAAATTATTGTACCTCTTTGGTATTCGAAAGATGAACTATATTAACAGCAAATGTGACAGCTGTTTTTGCACCAGCTCAGTCCTGCAAACAACCATCCGGTGAATGACCAGTTGATCTGGAGAATTATTGGTCAGGTCACCACAAGAAACTGTCTTCTCTTTACAAATCGCGGTACAGGGTCTTCGGATGGGCATTAAAGATGGCACTATTCGATGGACATTTGATTTAACATTTGATTTAACATCTGATAACAGCTCCGACAATGCAACACCGGCTCTCAGCAGTACACCAGAGCCGCAGTCAGGACGTTCAAATGAAATCCAGGTGTGGAGGAAGAGTGCAACTCAACTGAGTCGAACTGACGCCCGTAAATCAGTCCGGAATGTCCTGTCCACTCTCACACACCTGATCTCGAAGGCGAGTCTGACCCTCTCACCGGGTCCGAACTTCTGGTGCAGCCTGAAAGCTGAAGCCCCTTCAACCTCCTGTTAGGTCCCGGAGTCCCAGCCCCCACCTGCCCACACCTGCCCCCACCTGCCCCCTACCCCCACCTGCCTCCCTGTCACCGGCCCCCAACCCGCCGTCTGCCCCCGAGCCCCACCTGCCCCCCCCCTGTCCCCCACCTGTCCCCACCTGCCCCCCCCTGTCCCCGGCCCCCCTGTCCCCCACCTGCCCCCCCGGGCCCCTCCATCCTGACTCTCTGGTCAGTCGCAGTCCCAGCCTCGCCGCTCACCATTGTGATGGACCCAAGCGGGTTTCAGCAGCTTCATACTGCGCCGCTGGGCCCTGGGCGGGGGTCGGGCCTGGGACCGGCCTTCCTTCTGGGCGGGTGTCGCTCGGCGTCCCGATGCTGCCCGGGTCTCTCCCTCCGCTCCCGCACCGGCACTTCCGCTCCCACCGGAACCGGGCGGCGCACTCATCACTCCGCCGGATCATAGAGCCGGGAACAAAGGTCCGGCTCCACAAGTGCACCAAACCTCAAAAGGGGGAGCGAGAGCCACTCACTGTTCCGCTGTCACCTCCTCCGCCGGCCTCTGGGGGGCGCTGCACCGGCACCCGAGCCCCTCCCCTGGGCAGGCGGTAGGGGGCGCTCTCACGGTCCCAATCCAGTCCTGATGGGAGAGCCCCAGTGGGCGATCAGCACCTCTCCTCCCGTCCTCCTCGTGGGCCCGGAGGCAGTGACTGGGACCGGGATCAGAGTTTCGCGGACATTTATTTCCTCAACGGGGCCAAACGCCAAGTGGTCACTCGCCCTTCGTTGCGTGAGGCCCGGCGTGGAGGGCGCTGTGCAAGTGCAAGTTGTTGTTGTTGTTGTTGCTGCTGAGGGTCAGACACTGAGCAGGTTATGTAACCGTCCAGTGACACTCAAGGAAAGTCAGAGCCTGCCTCACCTGGATACACTTCTATTTCGAACAGAATAATAACTTCACCCGTAATAATAATAATAATAATAATCCTTGCATTTGATATAGCGCTTTTCACGTCTTCTCGACGTCCCAAAGCGCTTCACAGAACACACTGTAAAGTGAATTGACTGTATATTTGTGGGCGAACGCGGCAGCCAATTGCGCACAGCAATGTCCCACAAACAGTCGTGGATTGAAAATGAATAATTTATTATTGTTTTTGGTTTTGGAGGGATTATTATTAGGCTCTGTGTGGAGTAAGGAAACTTGCCCAAGGTTTCGCCCTCTGCCTGGAATTGAACTCAGGTCTCTCGCTTTCAAGGTGAGTGCTCTAACCACTGAGCTACAGGACTCCAATAATAGTAAGAGCAAGAGCTTCATTTTCTCCCGTGCTAACCCGATGCCTAATCTATTGTTTTTTGCTGAAATCAAATGACTCAGTGCAGATTGGGAATCTAATCTCTGACTGTCTGGTCTGTGTTGCCTCAGGGCTGCATCTTTCCACTGTATCGTGGCCGCTATCAGATTTCTTCCAGAAGATCACTGCCTTATTGTACATGAGTAATGATCCCCTCCATCTCTGGATGCACAAAATGAAGAGTTTCATAAGGTATTTCTCAGATAATTTGGAAGATTAGCCGAAGCAATCCAGCCTGAAAATAGTTGGTTACAGATCATCAGGAAGAATGGAATCAAAGTCACTCGTATCAGTACCGAGATGGAATTGATCTATCATTCAAGGAACATCATGACTGTTGAAATCCCATCTTGCCTCGCCTTAAAGCGGTTCCAAAACAAATCCCACTTTTGCGTCCCGTCCCCCGTCCCCCACCCCCACCCCCACCCCCGCTCCGATTACCAAATCCTGAAAGATAGGTAGTGGAGTGGATGAATGGAAATAAAACTCCTCTGCATTGTGCAACTCTGTCCTGTTAATATTCAATCTGGTCCAAAGTGAGTCGAAAGCACCAAAGGAGGGCAGCGGGGAAGGGTGTTGTGGAAAAATCTGAAGAAATCAAATAGAATGTTCCCGGATGGTTCTGCAACATCGAGGGAGACAGAGTGATTCACGAGGCAAAGGAAACAATGACAGGACCCAACGACGTGGTGTTTAGGATTAAAAAAAAACTTGGATCTCCTGTTGTCTCGTGTGAATCAGATTTAAATCCCGGAGTAATGCTGCCATCCAAATAACAAATGCTAAAGCAGGCGATGAAATCTATAAGGACAGGAGAGCGGACACTTCTCTCTCTGACATTACACCGAAGTGAATGGTTAACACTGGAATACCAGAGAATTGTGGGTTTTAAATCGGATGCCCAGAGAAAAAAATGGTAAGACTGAGCAAACATCAGCAAGTGACCAGGGACAGGAGGGGTGGGTCCGGGGTCAGGGGTCAGGGGTCCAGCCCTCAGCTGGACTTCTGAATCCATTGCTATGTTTCTGATTAGAATTCGTCCACTACGTGACAGAGAGAGAGAGAGAGAGAGAGTGAGAAAAAAACGACGAAAGAATGAAGAAAAGTCCGAAAAGTTTTTTTTTTTTTTTTTTTTGCAATTCACGGTGACGTTTTATTCGCGTTCGAAAGACGAGGGGTAACAACGAGACCAGAGCGGCGGAGATGGGGGGGGGGTCGGGGTTTGGGGTTTGAGGGGGTGGGAACCAAAAGCAGCGGAACCGAAGTGGCGGAGCGCGTGCTCCGGCCGGACCGAGTTGGCGTGTGGAGCTGATTGGCTGGTGGCGGTGGGCGGCTGGAGGTGACCCGCGGGGGGGAGCGGAAGCGGAAGTTGCGTTGGAGGGGTGGGGGGGTTGGGGGGCGGAGCTCCGGTGCTGAGGCAAAGGGGACGGATGTCCTGGTGTGTCCGAGCGGCTCTGGGGCTGCGGTGAGTGTTCGGGGACTGTGTCCCGCGATTATGGTTATTATTGCATTCAATATAATGTAATGTAATAATAGCCACAACGATGATCCTCTCGCGTTTGCTACGGCGCCTCATCGCGTCTCCCGGACGTCTCAAAGCGCTTCAACGGGAATACGCTGTAACGCGTAGTGACTGTGTATTGGTGTGTGGGGGAGAAACGCGGCAGACAATCCGCCCACAGCGTCCCCCACACACACACCCACACACACACACCCCCACACCCCACACACACCCACACCCCCCACACACCACACCCACACACACACACCCCACACCACACACACCCCCACACACCCCCACACACCCCCCCCCCCCACACACCCCCACACCCCCCCACCCCCACACACACCCCCCCCCACACACACCACCCCACACACACCACCCCACACACACCCACACACCACACCCACCACACACCACACCCCCACACACCCCCCACACCCCACACACACCCCACACACACACCCACACACCCACACACACACCCCCACACCCACACACACACCCCACACACACCCCACACACACACCCCCACACACACCCCACACACACACCCACACACACACCCCCACACACACACCCACACACCCCCACACACACACCCCACACCACACACCCACCCACACACACCCCCCCCACACACCCCACACACCCCACACCACCCCACACACCCCACACCCCACCCCACACACCCACACACCCCCCCCACCACACACACCCACACACCCCCCACACACCCCACACACACACACACACCCCACACACACACACACCCACCCCCACACCCCACACACACCCCCACACACCCCCACACACACACCCACACACACACCCACACACACCCCCACACACACACCCCACACCCCCACACACACCCCCCACACACACACCCACACACCCACATCCCCCCCACACACACACACCCCACAACACCCCCCCCCCACTCACACACACCCACCCACACACACACACCACACACCCACACACACCACACCCACACCCACCACACACACCCCACCCACACACACACACCCCACACACACACCCACACACATACACACCCACACACACCCCCACACACACACCCCCACACACACCCACACACACCCACACCCACACACCCCCACACACACACCCCCACACACACACCACCACACACCCCACACACCACACCCCCACACACACCACCACCCACACACACACACCCCCACACACACCCACACACACCCACACACCACCCCCACACACCACACACACCCACACACCACACACCCACACACACCACCCACACACCCACACCCACACCCACACCCCACACACACACACACACCCCCCACACACCCACACACACACCCCACACACCACACCACACCCCACACACACACCCCCACACCCACACACACCCACACACACACCCACACACCCCCACACCCACACACCCCCACACACCCCCCCCACACACACACCACACCCCACACACCCCCCCCCACACACACCCCCCACCCCCCCACACACACACCCCCCACACACACACCCCCACACACACCCACACACACACCCACAGACACACACACACACCCACACACTCCCACACACACACCCCCCCCCCACACACACACACCCCCACCCCCCCCCACACACACACCCCCACACACACCACCACACCCACCACACACACGCCCCACACACACGCCCCACACACACACACCCACACCCACACACCCCATCCACACACGACCCACACACACCCCCCCCCACACACACACCCACACACACCCCCCCCCCACACACACACACACCCACACACCACCACACCCCACACACACACACACCCCCCACACACACCACCCCCACACACCACACACACACCCCCACACCCACCACACACACACCACCCACACACCCACACCCCACACACCCCCACACACCCACACACACCACACACACCCCCACACACCCCCCACACACACACCCACACCCACACACCCACACACACACCCCCCACACCCACACACACCCCACACACACACCCCCCACCACACACACCCCACACACACACCCACACACCACCACACCCACACACCCCACACACACACACACACACCACCC